TTATTATTATTTTTATTATTATTATGTCCTCACCCTGGATGGAAACAGGGTTCAGCAGAGACTTATTCCTTCGAAAGTCCAGGACCATTTCTTTGGTCTTGCTGGTGTTTAGCTGGAGATGGTTAAGATGACACCACTCCACAAAGTTGGTAATCAAGATCCTATATTCCTCCTCCTCCATCCCCTCTCTAATACACCCCACAATTGCAGAGTCATCTGAAAACTTCTGCAGATTACATGCCTCAGAGTTGTACTTGAAGTCAGAGGTGTAAAAGGTGAAAGGGAATGGAGCAAGGACAGCCCCCTGTGGAGCCCCAATACTGCTCACAGCCTGTTCGGACACACAGCTCTGTAGATGTACATACTGTGGCCTGCAGGTCAGATAGTCTGTAATCCAGGATGCCAGGGGAGTGTCCACCTACGCCGCCCTTAGCTTATCTCTCAGTAAAAGTGGATGGATGGTGTTAAAGTCACTGGAGAAGTCAAAGAGCATAACTCTCACAATGCTCTCCATCTTCTCCAGGTGAGAGTTAGCTCTGTGTAGCAGATAGATGACTGCATCCTCCACTCCCAAGTGTGACAAGTAGGCGAACTGCAGGGGGTCCAGTGCTGTACTCACCAGGGTTCAGAGGTGGTCCTGTACAAGCCTTTCATGAGTTTTCGTTAGGTGTGATGTCAGTGCCTCTGGTCTGTAGTCATTCAAGGCTTTAGAGTGCCCCTTTTTGGGTACTGGCACCAGGCAAGATGTCTTCCAGAGCACCGGAACCCTTTCTAATCTCAGGCTCAGGTTGAAGATGTACTGCAGCACTGAACCCTGTTGGTCCACGCAGATCTTTATCACCTTTAGCACCTGGACCTCTTGCAACTATTTTTTGAAAGACACCAGGGCATCAGCTTTAACCACATGGCCAGGCAGCTTGTTTCACACTCCTCCAGCCCGTGGGCCTCCCTCCTGTTCCAGGTTTCAAAGCACTTCCTCATAGTGTCCACCTGTGCCCGCTGGTTCGAGCTTCACCGCTCTTTCAGAGGAAATCTGTTGGGTCGGCTTTGTCATTGACTTTGAGGCATTTCAATACCCACAGGAGGTCCCTTCTCAATCGTCTCTGTCCAGGTCTAAAAAGGTTCAGTTCCTTCAGCCTGGCAGGGTAGGCCATTGCCTCGAGCCCTGGCATGTCTCTGGTGGATTGTCACTGCACTGATTCCAGTGCAGCATTTGTTTTTTCTATAACATGAAGACCAAAAGTGTCTTCAGGATTCTAAATGGGGCCTTTCTAGTGCCTTATACAATTTACAATTTACAATTTGATGCTTTTAACGATGTATCCTTGCATTTTATTTTCTCTTTTAATTGCTTTCCCCACATTGTCTAGAAGATGCAAATGATGTGTCGACATAAACACCTAAGTGTTAATTTCTCTTAGCTCTGTGTTTTCCATTTTTTATTTATAGGCTATTTCTACAGCAGCAGCTTCATAATTACAGTACATGGCTGCTAAGTAAATCCATTTTCTTAGTTCCTTAGTTGTGGTACAGAGGAAAATTATATATTTCTTTTTTGTAGCTTATATTAAAGGGGGCTGGATCCTTCGAAAGGCCTGGAAGATCTACAACAAGTGTTACAGCGACATCAGCCTGCTCCAGGACTCGTGTCAGAAGAGGACTTCCCAGGGATCTCTGCCCTCAGATCAGGCCAATGATAACACTCTGTCCCAGGAGGGGCTTTCAGCAGAATCCCTGAGCCGACTGAAGGGCTCCGTGAGCTTTGGATACGGGCTCTTCCACCTGTGCATCTCTATGGTGCCGCCTCACTTGCTTAAAATCATCAACCTGCTGGGCTTCCCCGGAGATCGGCTGCAGGGCCTGTCTTCTCTCATGTACGCAAGTGAAAGTAAGGACATGAAGGCCCCTCTCGCTACGTGAGTAGGTGTATTGTACTGCATGGGGTAATCGATTTTCTTATAAAGTATCTGCAGCTGATTGTGGTTATCTGTTGCACTGGGGGGATTTCTTTATCTTGCAGTGCATTATCCGCAGGGGACTCTTCTTAAAAATCACCCCGCATTTCTACATTGCCACTTTTGTACCTCATTCATAAAACCACTATTAAATAACAAGCGTTATTTAGTACTGCAAAGGTACAAGTAATAGGTTTATTCCATGCTGAAAAAAAGAAAGAAAACACGTTTCAGGTGTCACCTGAAGAAGGCTCCACGGCCGAAACGTTGTGTTTTCTTTCTTCTTTTTTTTCAGCATGGAATAAACCTATTACTTGTACCTTTGCAGCCTATGCATGCTGACGCAGCTACCCACCTGAATTATTTAGTACTGGCACATTAAGGAGCAAATGCATCGTTTCTAGCAATCATCGCAAATAACATGACTGAGAACAGTGGAATGGAATGTAGAGTCTTGTACCAACGTGGACAGGAGACTGAGGCTGGAATGTAATCCCCACCCATAGTCTTATCCCAGCATGTGATCCCACACATTACACAGTGATCTAGTAGGAAGGAAATGTGGGAGAGTTTTGCAAATACAGAAACTGCACGGCTCTGTTCTTTGTTTCCCTGTCCAGCTCCTGACAAAGATTTAAACTGATTTAGGCTGGTGAGCTGAAGCCTTTGCTTTGCGTCGTGGAAAACAACAGATAATCCTTTTGTAGTTTAAAGGCTACGGCTGGCAAGATTGAACTGGAAAATTTCTTAAGTCCCCTTTCTCCTAGTAACAGCCTTAAGTATCTCAGGCAAGATGACTTGAACCTCAGATACCATCAGAAATGAAATTCCTCCCACGATAATACTTTTCTAACTTAACAATGTATGTGTATACTTTTAACATGAATATAATATATAATATATAATATAATAATATAACTTGTTAAAATGAACAAGTCATACACTGACACATTAATCATGTAAAAATGGAATAAAACAAAAACAATTCCCATTGATCATCTTCTGTGTATTTACACTGTGTATCACAGCTGAGGAGTAGAAGCCTTGTGCTATTGTTTTTATTTATTAAGTAAAATGATTGCTCTATCTTGATCTGAGTAAACAATAAAAATAGTTTTTAAATAATCACTTTTAGTGTATGGAAATGAGACACAGAAGTCATCCGAAGAGCTTTGGCCATGTGGTTAATACAAACTTAACTCATCGTCCAAAACAATTCTTCTTATTCTTTCTACTGTGTGCATTTCTGATATTGCATAAATATTTGTGCAATCTGTAAGAATATCCCTGTTATCATGCTGTTTCTCAATGGTTTCAATATACATGTAACTGTATACATTACATATGTTTTCTGGTCATTTATATCTAGTTTAAAAAAATAGCCTGCATTCTTACAACCCATCTTTTGGCTGGTTGGTGGACAAAAAGATCATTTTGAGAGAAATTGTACTGTATATCTTCCCAACACATTTGGTTCCTTCTCTAAAGAGATTATTTTTGCTGTTAAGTTAAGATCGTTAAAAATACTTCATGCTAAATTTTGCCCAGAAAGGTCTGAAGTAATCAAGTGATAATTCATAAGCTCTACCACACAGGCAATCAATTCAGTACAGCCATTGAATCCTTCACCATCTAGCTAATCAGTTTATTGCACAAACAAATCTAATGGTTGTCTACTATTATAACCTGCTTTCTGTATCAGTATAAGAAACACATTTAGATAAAACCCACCACTGTTAATTTCCTGATTCCATATCTACAGTATATATACAGGTCCATGGCTGCATTATTAGATTTATTTAATCTGCTTCCATCAATGTGTGCCTCTTTCATATTTTGAGCTCCATGGCGAGGTCCTCATGCACACCAATATTTGGAAAGCTTATACTGTATGTAGTGCACAATGAACACACCTTAAATACAGTAGTGCCCTCCTCAAAGTCAGCAGTACACAGTGAGGGCTTATTAGTTATGCAAATAGCATAGCTAACATTTTTCTGTCAACATCTTTCTTGCTTGTGTAAGTAAGAACTCGACAGTGATGGAAAGTCTTGTGCCGTACCCAGATTATGTCAATTCTAGTACAGGATGTGTTTGCCGGGAGCATATTCATTCTGTGGCATTTCAGAGCGCATTCTTATTCTCTCTTGGCATGATGGCCTTGCTTTGCTGAAGCACAGTCACGGGCAAGTGGGAAAAAAAATACAATTTATACTGTGTATACAGTTCCTTGCAAAAGTGTTCACCCCTCTAATTTGATGTCCTATTTTTTGGAGTTACAAATTCGACATTTAACTCTATAAATAGTCAGTTTCAGCATTCAGCTTTTGACTAAAATACTTTAAAAATGTTTATATGTTTGTGTTCCAACACGGCAGGACATCGTGAATAATTTCGCAAGGCCCTGTATATGTGACGTAACTTCAAGATACTTTACCTGGGAGGTAACCAGATGGTATTCATTACCCACAATGCAAGTGGTCAATGACCCTGTATTCACATTTTAAAAAATGCGGAGTTCATGGGGGAAAAAAACCCCACAATTTTTCACAGTTCTTTGCTTTAGCCCATAAGCTGTGTATGAGAGTCCTACCATCAGCAGTCGATGTTGCAGGTCTCAGTGTCTTCCTCAGTGAGTTGCAGAGGCTGTGAAGTGGTCTCTGAGCTGCCCCTGTCCTTGTCCTTCAGGTTGGCTCTGCTGTGGTACCACACAGTGGTGCGACCCTTCTTCGCCCTGGATGGGACAGACACGCAGGCAGGACTAGCAGAGGCAAAAGCCATCCTTCAGAAGAAAGAAGCGGTGTACCCCAACTCCTCCCTGTTCATGTTTTTCAAAGGCAGGGTTCAGAGATTAGAGGTACAGTGACCTTACCTTCTTTTCCCACCTTGAAGCTGCGCAAGACTGGCTCTGGTTAGTACTGAGATCAGAGGCGCCCCCAAGGAAAACCGGGTTTAATGCTTCAAGTAATGTTGAAGTAGTTCCATTTGTAATACTTCTGGTATTAATGGTCCCAACAAAGAGAAATTTAGCACCAGAATTGAGAATCCCCAGCAAACAGCAGATGTACGAGAGGCAGCGTACCACTGCATGATGAAGATCTGCACTGCTCGAGACTGTGTCCATATGGTAGTGAGGAGCATCCTGTCTTGTCTTCAGTATACATTGGCACTTGGACCACTTGGCATTCTTGCCTCGGGTCCAGGATTTTAAACCGGAGGCCCAGTATGGTGCCAGGGAATGCTTTGCTCTAGGAGGTCCCATTCTTTTGGTCAGACATTAAACCATCATCCTGGCAATTTACTCGGGAATAATCCCCTGGCATGGGTGTAAGAGTTGGGTGCTGACCTCAGCGTCCTTGCTAAATCTGTATTCTGGGCTGGCATGTCTGACCTTAATTCAACTGGTGAAACCCTTTCTGACTTCTTCACCTGATTTGCTGTGTCATGAAAGTGCATACTAGCACGTACTAGCGTATACCGGTCCATACCAGTCCATACTGGTGTACAGAGGCTGCTGCACATCAGCCTGGTGGGTGGGTGCTGCTTTTCAGTGGTTGGGTTTGCCCATTCTTATCTGTAAAGCACTGTGGGGCCCTTCAGCATGAAAATAGCTGTCTAAATACAAATAATATTGTTGTTATTCAGTTCACTGTGCACATTAGAGTGTACATTTCTTCTTTGCTCCTCTGTTGTTCAGCCAGCAAATGTTACGCTGGTCCTCATTAACATGCCTTTGTAAGAACTGAATATGTTATTGTTACTATTATATAAAATGTAGTAGTAGTAGTAGTAGTAGTAGTAGTAGTAGTAGTTTGTGATATTAGTTTTTTCCTTCCTTTTTCTGGGTTTGTAGGGGTGCCAAAGAAGACCCTGAACCCTTTTGTGAAATCTCAGATCGTCTCAGTTCAAGGGTTACAGGAGTATTATTAACCTCTGTAAGAACATTCATAGCAAACATTTGTTTTCCCTCCAGTGCCAGATTAATAGTGCCTTGACTTCCTTCCATGAGGCGCTGGAACTTGCAAGCGATCAAAGAGAAATTCAGCACGTGTGTCTGTATGAAATTGGTAAGTGGTCTTTACATGGGTTATCTGAAAGTGAAGCTTAGAGCTTTTGTTGAATAATTAATCATTTTATGTAATAAGTCATATAATTCTGTTGAATAATAAGTATAATAGTGGTAATGTATGTGGTAATTGTAAGAAAGGAAATAGCCTGATATGAATGACCTGGGTTATAGGTGATTCATGATGTCCATAAAAACTAGTTAAAGTCTTCGAGTCCTCCCGCCTCCTAGCTCTGCAGTATACAGGTCCTCTTGCAGGTACCCATTTTATTCATGCCGTTGCAAATGGACACTGATGCATTTCTCTTTCAGGGTGGTGCAGCATGATTGAGATGAATTTTAAAGATGCATACAAGTCCTTTGAGCGGCTCAAGAGCGAGTCGCGATGGTCTCAGTGCTATTATGCTTATCTGACTGGAGGTTTGTTCAGCCTTTTTAGCCGAGCCAATAATTATCTGTCATTTTCCCGTGAAGTTCTAGATTGTAACAGTTCATCAGTACACAAAATCATAACCAATAAGTGAGGATTTCAGATGTTGGCTCTCACAGATACTGTATAACAGTCAGAAACAAGTAGTGGTTATTTAACCTTGAATATTAGAAAGAAAAACTATATTTATTTCTTCTTGTTTGAGGAATTAATTACAGTGGTATGTTCTTAGAAAAGTTCAAATATATCTAAATTGCTATTATATATGTATTTACTAATGAGCTATACTAACAGTAACCTTGAAGGAGGCAAGGATTACTGTACGTTGAATGTTTTTTTGAAGTATGAATTATGCTTTAACTGAAACAGTCAATATTATTATTATTATTATTATTATTATTATTATTACCACCCGGTGTAGACTAAATGTACTAAAAGGTGACAGGGAGCCTTGCATTAACATTGAAATTTCAATTCCAGGATATATTATGTAATACTAATGCCATAAGTTAAATTATGTAATGTAAACAAAATAATTAAAACATTCTTTGTGATGAAGGGAATTAACTAAACTTGATCAGACATCTGTATTAATAATAATAATAATAATAAAGTCCCAGAGACATTGATCCTTATGCATTTTTAACTCCTTATTTTTTGTAACATTTCTTTTGGTTTGTGTAGTATGTTTCTCTTCTGTCTTATTGTTGGACACTTTGCTTAACATTTTCCTGTGTCAGCACATATCAGCCAGCACCAATGAAGATGTATTTGTAGATAAATAACATTAACTTTTGGAGAGAGATCTGTAACAACAGTAGCCTATTGGAATGTGTTTTAGTGAAACACCAGATAAAACCAGTAAGAAGGCCTGATAATCTTTTTATGTGCTTCATGAAGTCTGCCAGGGAGCTACAGGAGATCTGGAGGGTGCAAAGATGGTTTTCAAGGAAGTTCAAAAGCTCTTCAAGAGGAAGAACAATCAGATTGAACAGTTCTCTTTGAAGAAGGTAATTTTATTTTATCATTAGCTGTATATTCAGCATCTTTCTTAAAAACCAAAAAAACACTTGTTCCAACTTTATCTTCACCAACATTACATTTTCAGTAAAAGAATCATGCACTCGTGATTTAAGAGAAGTTGCTTAATCATACTGCTTACTAGTTCGAATTATTTGAAGATTTATAAAACAATCAATTTATCAGCACGTCAATACATTTTTTCCTTAATGACAATTCACAAGGGTTCTAAAAATGAATCCTGGGGTAATCAGATTCTTTAGCTGAGAAACTTCACAAAACACACAAAAGAAAACACCGTATGTCTTCATTTTACCACTAGATGGCAACCAACCAACCTTTTAATGAATATGAATTCCACACTACACTGCACTGTTCACTAGGATTGGAGAATATCACCCTTCTCCCATACATCTGTGATATATAGTACTTGTTTCTATCCTGAAAGTTGCATGTTTACTTTATCACTGCTGTGTTTCTGGACAGGCAGAGCGGTTGAGGAAAATGTCCCCAACTAAGGAACTGTGTATCCTGGCTGCAATAGAAGTGCTGTACCTTTGGAAGGCTCTCCCTAACTGTTCATTCTCCAAGCTGCAGCACATGAGTCAAGGTGAAACATACTGAGCATGCCACCACTCTCTGTGCACTCATTGAATTGCATCTTTAATCTCCTTAATAGTTTTTAACTTATGTAGCGGTCAGTTCTACTGCTTCAAAGCACCAAGGCAACTGGTTCACAGCTTGAGCAGGTGAAGTGTGTGATGTGTGTGGAGTTTGCATGTTCTCCCCAAGGTTGGATGGGCTTATGCAGGTCTATCTCTTTACCTCTACCTCTGACCTTGTATGGAGCAGCCCCTTTGTCTCTCTCTTCTGTGCTCTGTGTATTGGCTATAAGACCGAAATGGACAAAGAACGATCTTTTGCACTACTTTTATTCATCCCTTTTTCTAATTGCTTCATCCAATTTAGTGTTGAGAGGGAGGTGGAGCTTATCCTGGCAAGCAACGGGCACAAGGCAGGGTACACCATGGATGGGAAGTCCGTCCACACAGGACACACACACTCACACCAGGGTCAGCGTTCCCAGAAGCCAGTTAACCTACCAGCATGTCTTTGGACTGTGGGAGGAAACTGGAGCACCCAGAGAAAACCCACATGGACACAAGAACATACTGTATAAACTCCCCATAGACAGTACGCCAGGTCCAGAATTGAACTTGGAGCCCAAGTGCTGCAAGGCATGGTGCTACCACACTACTTTTATCTTTATGAACTTTGAAACCCATGATTAGGGTTGGAATTCATTAAAACATGCAGCATATGTATGGGGAGTTGTTTATTTTGTTTTTAATCTCCTTCAGTGCAGAATGGCCAGCTGTCATACTTTACTTCCCATTGGAGTTTACCCCCTTTATGATTGCACAACATTAACAAGATTTTTTAAAAATTAAATGAAGGCATGGTCACACACTTATGTGCTGTAACACTGTGGTGTATCGCCGTGTAATTCATGCCTGTTTCTCAAGTATTCTGCATGTGCACTCAGGTTATTAGACGCTTAAGTATTGCCTCTAATGTCATGGATTTCAATTATCCAGATCGCTTTTGTAGAGCAAGAACGAAAGAAAAATTGTTAAATAGTGGGTTCCATGTTCTTTCTTTGAGGTCTCAGAGCTCAGGAACATCTTTATTTTCTCTTTTCCACTGCAGTTAACAATACTGTTTAATTTTAAAAAAATGGCAGCAGGAAGAGTGCCTGTGCTCTTTACTGCATTAGTGCCATGTAGTGTCTCGTATTGCTTAGAAAGGCTTTGTTCTGGTAGATTTGACAAATTTCCGTACAACCTCTCTCTGTCTTCAGCTTTACAAGAAGTGAATGATCCGGCATATGTGGGCTTAAAGAACTTACTGCTTGGTGCCATACACAAATGTCTAGGAAACACGAAGGATGCCATTCAGGTAAGCCCGTTTAAAGAGCCTTGTACTTAGAATTGTTTTACGAATCAAAAGCAGCCAAAAAGCCGGTCACTTTCCATTCATTTACTGTACATGCTTGTGGTTAGGTAGATCTTTAGGTCTTGAGACCGTTAGGGGGTGGTGCGGCAGCTCTGTAGCTAAGGATCCGGGCTTGTGGCTGGAAACTTGCTGGTTCGTATCCCGCGGCCGGCAGAGGAATCCTACTCCGTTGGGCCCCTGAGCAAGGCCCTTCACCCCAACTGCTCCAGGGGCGCCGTATAAATGGCTGACGCTACGCTCTGACCCCCAGCTTCTCTCCCTGTCTGTGTGTCTCATGGAGAGCAAGTTGGGGTATGTGAAAAGCTGAATCCCTAATACAAGAAATTGTGTATGGCCAATGAAGTGATCTGATCTTTGAGCATTAGAACGATTAGATCAGATTATTTTTTAAAAAACTGAAACCAAGTCACAAATATGTGGGAGCAGCAATGTCTTTGTATCCAAAAACCTGTTTCTTTCTCTTAAATAATTCCTTCTCTCTAGTCCTTCCAGTTGGCTGTAAGAGATGAGCTGGGACGCCAGAGCAATTCCTACGTCCAGCCGTACTCCTGTTATGAGCTCGGCTGTATCGTTCTGGAAAATCCAGAGGTAAGAAGTATTTCAGTATTTATCTGTAAAATATCCTCCTTCAAGTCTAAAACGAATTCGGTCTTGTTTGTCTGACAGTATGACAATTATTTTCCATAAATTAGTTTATTGTATTTAAAGCATATAAAATTCACTAGAACTACGTTATTCTTTTAATATTTTGAAAACAGGTCCATCTAAAAAAAATCAGAGAGCATTTTCCGACTGCATTGATGATTGTATTGTCCCTCATCTTGGAAAAAAATTGTGCTCCTCAGGGAAGAAGCACAAGAATATCAACTGGAGTGTCACACGCTGGTGAATTTATCTCCTCAGATAATAGCCTAAATTGAGTCAAAAATGTGTCTATTGGTGACTTTCCTGGATCTGACCAGCCAAACTCACATCACGTGACTAACACTGTACATAAAAGAGAGAGTACAGAAGAGAAAATATAACGGAGAGAAGAAGCAGACAGGAGAGAGAGAGTGCCAGTATTTTATACTGCTCAACACTTCATTCTTCACAGATGAATAGGAACCTGTCAGGCGTTTACACACTAAAGGGACTCATTAAATTAAGGCTGTGTGTTTTGTCTATGTGTAATTATTTAATTGTCCTTTTTCAGTCTTTTGCTTCCCTTCCCTGCTTTAAATGACTATGCTACTACCCTGTCCAAGCACGTTGGCCAGCAATATTCCAAACCATGTTGCAGAAAAGCTCTGGTCCTACCTGACAAGCTACCGGACTCCTGTCAGTAACCATAACACCTGCCAGCTATGTACAATCGATGGTGCTTTATACACATCTTCAGCCATCAGACATCTCCCTTTAAAAAGTCTGACACTAACCGGTACCACTTAAAGCAGACACAGACCTATTAAAACATGTAAATTACCAGATGAGATTGAATGTTTATCAGTAATACTTTTTTCCTAGGTTTCAGAACCAACACCATAACAAACCATGCTATGCCAGTCTGAGTTAAATCATTCATTAATTTTCTCTGTGTAGTGCCTAACACAATATCATAGAATACACATTTTGGTTCTAAACATTACATCAGTCTTCTGCCCAACGTGTAGAGTCATCCAAGGATTTTAACCATAAAATAAGGATTACTTCGCATTTATTGCCGCTGCGCTGACAAATTAATTCCATAAATATGTGCATTTACTGATCATAAACATTAGTCATCATAAAAATGTGAAAAAGGTGTGCGTCAATATGTTCAAACCGATAATGCCACTTTTGAATGGAAACAATGTAATCAAATTAAGCTTGTAACTTTATGCATGTAGAAAAATAAAGTATAAGGATTTTGGACATTGATTAACTATTTTTGCCATCATTGTGATTAACTGATCATTCGTGACTGACTGTGATACAATTATCTCTTTGTCTGTTACATCAGCTCTATATCACCACTGTGGTTGATTGGGCATGAGTGATGGGGTTGTTGAACCTATTGAATATCAGGCCAGGTGAAAGTCAAGAAAGAAAATCATAGAGCCAGTATCTCCCACTTACCAAGAGAGCACCACACGTCTGTGGCCGGTGTGTTGGAGGCTGGAGTAAGTCCAGTGGAGTAAGCACTGGATCCTGGTCCTCAATGTGTCTAGTCCGCTGTGATGGACATCAGCAAGTTGTACTCATCGATGGCATCCTGACTGCACAGCGCTATACTGTAGGGACATCATCTGTGTCTCATCCTGACTTGACAACATTCCAGCAGGCACGTGCTTGTCCACATGCCTTTCTTGGGAGATAAAAATGTTTGAATCAATGTTTAAAGAATAACGGGTTTGGTGCACTCATCCTCAGGAGGCATGAATCGTTTCAGTTTCTGCAAAATGCATAAAATGCGGATCCACATCCACATCCGTCTGTAACATAGGCCCTCGGTTCAGGCTGCCTGACCCAGGAGTCAGGGGTTCAAGCATGGACTAACGGACTAGTTCATGTCACTAGCTGACAGTGACTGGGATTGCCCAGGTGATCGTGCACAGTCGCTCTTCTCGGTTCTTGGTGTTTCAGTGAGGGCTGATCACTGAGTGACACTCCTCTGCACCAGTCGACACTGATGCTCCTGAGCAGGGCTTTGAGGAAAGTAGCTCCAAGGTGGACGCATATCAGGAGCCGCTTCCACATCCTCCCCTGTGGGTACGAGGATATTCCCAGTGAATTGACAGTTATTCTACATTGTCGATATATAGTATCAAAAGCAACTGGCAAGTTTACATTTAAAAAAAATAAAGTTGGAAAATTGATCATTTTAAATTATGGTATACACAGTGTTCTGTGCAGGAAATGTTAGGTGTTTGTACTGTATATATGCTAAAAACTTCTGATTTTCTTTTTTTCAGACTACAGGGAAAGGAAGAATATTGCTCCTTCAGGCTAAGGTACGGTATACAGTGTTACCGAGCATTTACTGTATATTGTGAATTTACACAGTGAACTACTGTAAAATCTACTTGAAATGTAATATAATGCTAAGAAGGTAATGCGGAAACAATGAACTTATTAAACTTTTCCTTACAATCCTACAGGTATCCCTCAATTTATGAAATTTCGGTACCAAGTCTACTAATCTATGCCAGTTTTTTTTTTAAATGCTTTTGCTGTAATGAGCAAAATTCCTTCCTTGCTGAGCATCCTATTGTAGGTCACAGAATACACTTCAGTGCATAGCCTGGGTCCAAACATTCTACATCTTCAGTATAATCATATTACTAATTCTGCAGATATCCCAGAGCTGCCGAGGTTTGTCTTAACAGGGAGGAAATCTGTTCTACTTCTGCTTTCTGAAACCGTTTTTTTGTTTCCTCTCCTGCAGGAGGAATTCTCCGGCTATGATTTTGAAAACAGGCTGCATGTGCGCATTCATGCTGCATTAGCCTCCCTTAAAGAAGTTGTTCCACAGTGACACCGTAATCCCTCCCTCCCGTCACACAGGCGAAAAAGCACTCCTGATCTGCACTTTATGTTGTGCGCAAGACTAAGTGGACACAGGGAGCCTGGCTTTATTTATGAAAGCCAGCAGTGCATAATTCTGTGACTTAATTTTATTTCTGAATTTGTTTTATTCTCATCAGTAGGGGAATCGTTTAGATACGTTGTTTAACACTGAGTTGTTTTGTTACATAATGAAGTTATGAAGACTCCCAATCCCATAGCAGAGTATCGGGTGGCCCTTGTTTCGTGTTGTTAACCTGGTCAGTCTTGTTTTTGCCCGTCTACAGACTTGAACAATGAGTGGTAGTGCTTGAAAAGCCAAGAGAAGTCATACTTCTTCATTTTCCTTCAGGCCACATCCATTTGCGGCTGGGGCATAAAACTCAAATCAACAAATCGCAGTTTTGAAGCTATTGTGTTGATTCTGTCAAGAGGCAAGGGAAAGGTTTTTAGTCACTTGTCTGTCTTGCTTTCACAGAACCAGACAAACGTTAATGGCATTTCAATATAGCCATACAAGACAATGCATTAACTCTTACTTAGAAGTTAATTCACTGTTTGTGAGCATCAGTGAGGCCTGCTGTACATAAGTGTTTGAAGAATCCAGCCATCACTAAAACAAACACACTATACTATAAAGGTAATTTGTTTGGGATGGTATAGCAATAGGCAAGATGGAGGTACGCTTCTCAGACTTGCAGCAATGATTTTAAATTTAAAGTCAACGCAAGTCTTTGACTTGTGTGCACGAAATATTGTTCTTGGTTATGAATTAGCAGCAGTTTGGATATCGTTTTACGCAACAGAGCTATAATGTAGTTCAGTAAAAGACCAGCAGAATGTGCTTACTGTCCTACACTGCGAAAGGTGGAGCCAAAATCTGTTATTTAAAGTGCCATCCACTAAAATAATGTTTTTAATGTCACACTAAAAATCTTTCTCTCTTCTCTTTATACATGATCTCCTTTGACCCAAACATGATCTTTTTAGTCTTTTTTTAAGCCGTTGAGATTTTAGACCTTGTAGGATTTTCTTAAATTTCTTTCCATAGAACCACTAAACTCCAGAAATTACCCCTTAAATACATTGGAAAACTATTTTCTATGTATTTTCTAAAGTAACTAAATACCTCAAATTTACACAATTAACACATAAATATAGAATGTGTATATATAGTATTCACAGATGTATATAACCTTTGTATGTTGCGTATCACTTAAATATAACGGAGGAGAGAAGCAGCTTTTATTGCCTTTCATTTCTGGTTTTGGTTTATTCCTTTGATTTGGCTTTTGTGACTGAACAAGCTGCTGTCTCACAAGTACATTGTGCATGACTATTTACCATCGTTTGCCACAAAAGAAGAATTTTCAAAGTAAGAAGCGCACCAGGAAGTCCCACTGAATCCAAGATACCAAATCTCCTTTTAATTCAAATTACAACTTCCATTAATTATTACTGGTATTTAAACCAAGGCTGTATTCTGTTAACGCCCACACCCACAAATACATATCACTAAATGCAGGCCTTCAATGTTAATCCATCTGTAATGTTAAAGTTAGAGCTTTAACCAACAGTTAAAGAAAAGTTCAGCCAGTTTGTATATTGTCTGAAAAACAGTAAGGACACAATGGACAAAAAATAGATATCTATATATTGCCAAATTTGTTGATAATGTGTGTGTAGCTGTGTTTGCCTGGGTGATGGAGATTGCAGGTAAAAAAATGCTGCTGAATCTTTTTGGGAAATTAGTATATTTGCAGTACCTATAAAGTCCTTATCAAAATAAATTGATAAAGATTTGTGTATCCCCCATAAATCACCTTGTATTTCTGTGTGTGTGTATATCTATGAATTAGAACATTTGCTACTTTTTTGCAGGGGTTTTGTCCTATTTCTAAAATCTAAAATGTAGCACAGTAATGATTAGGATATTTTCTCGCAAAATATTTGTATATTTTTCCTGAGTTTCTAGAATAGCAAAGCATAGTATCTTAGAAGTGCATGTTCATAATCAGGTTCATTTCTTGAGGTTGAATACAATTGCAATATAGTCTGAAGAAATTCAGACATCTTATTCTCGTTTTACAGATAGAAAAGTTTTCAAAATAGTTTTTCATCCTTTATTTTAGGATTACAATGAGGCTTTCATATCAGATCATACCGGTGACGAGTGCTTTGTAATATATCGATATTCAGTGCCATGTAAAGGTTTGAAGGTGGCAACAGTGGGGTGGTTACTGAGCACACTATTGTTACCTTTTCTGCTCTTTAGTGTTCGCATTATTAATATCTTTGCGTCTCTGAACAGGTCACTGTTTAATCTTTAAATTACACCACGGATGTTGGTGCGAAAGGTGCCTTGTACTGGAAGTATTTTGGGTATAAACTTATGGCCTCCCCGCCTCAGCCTTTGGGTGGGTTGACTTCATATCTTTCTGCTTCAGAAAAATACAGTTCTTCTCTGGGTGCTGTAAAGGTTGGTGCTCCACAGGACTTGGTTGTGGGTCCTTTACTTGCTCTTTTTGTTACCAATGCAAATGTCAAAGAGTAGTGTAGTCTAGTGGATCAGCCATTAAGCCCGTCACCAGGAGTGGGTTCACCCACTGCAGACCCTGGTATTGTACTCTTGAGAAAGGTACTTTATCCAAGTGATCCCAGTCCATCCAGCTTTAGAAGTAGGGACCAGCATTGTTGGGGGGTGACTCTTGGGACTTGATCTGTGTCCCCTCCTATGGCTGTAAGGAGTCAAGAGCTCTTTAATCTGAATAACCAAAAGACAACTTCTTCAGGAACCACTTTTACATTCCAAGTGTATTTAAGCCATTGACAAGTATTAAGTAATTATTTGTCTTTTGGCCTGCAGATTTTTTGGGATCTACAGCTCAATTTTTGAAATTGGTCCCATTGGTAGCTTTCACTGCAGGAAGGGTACAGAAATGTTAGCGCATGCCTTTGGGACCTGTTGATGAGTGAGATTTTCAGTTAGTATGCCTTCCTAACACAATTCCAACTTCTGTACATTACCGCAGGTTGATTACTTGATGACGTCTTCCTGAACATATTACACTATTGTTTAAGGACTGAAGGAGTAAGGAACAAGTTAGATATGCAAAACCTTGCTTTCTAAATATATGCTGTGGAAATAATTTCCATGTACAGCTCCTCTTGCTTAATTATAATTATTTCCGTTGCCTTAAGTCAGACTTATTGGACTATAATTACTTGGTTTGGTTTTTTTAAACCTTGGTGTGTATGGGTACTATGTTAGCAATTCTCCAGTTGTGTCAATGGCTTCTGAAGAACATCTTTCATTTCCAACTAGTAAGATACCATCAGACACTAGAGATTTATTCATGCTGCAGAAATCACTGCTGAAACACTTCTCCCTCTTCTACGCTAATACTCTCTAGTTATAACATGCATGCAACCCTTGCACTTATAAATGGGGAGTGTTTTGGCAGTGACCTCTCCAGCATCTTTTGGAGCCCATAACATTTTTCATGCTGGCCATTTTACAGTTCCTATAAGTTCTGTTTCAGAAAACCAGACGTCTTCTGCACTCAGTTTACTTGGCAGGTATCTCTGCTTGTCTTGCAAGTGTGATGATGTCTGGCTAAAGACTGCTCCCCATTCTTGGTTGACTGTTCCCAGCTGGTGGCTGTCAAATGTCTCAGCTGAGCTCTGATTATGAAACCTTGAAGTCAACACCTTGACTGGACAAGTAAGATTATTGTGATAACGAGCTACACATAAAGTAATTTGAATTGATCCTCCCAGTTAAGGTACCTAATCAAACTGGAATTCCCGCTCTGTTGATGTGAAACACTCCATATGGAGGAACAAGTAAAGGTTTGTTCCATGCTGAAAAGAGAAGAAAAGAAAAATGCTCCACAGCCGAAATGTTGTGTTTCTTTTCTTCTCTTTTCAGCAAGGAATAACCCTTGACTTGTTCCTTTACAGGGTACGCATGCCGACGCAGCTCACTACTTAAACTACTCCATATGGAGGACAGGGTAAGGAAAGATCTAGAAATATACACTTTTCAGAATCTTTCTCACTTGGATGTCAAATTAAAACAAAAGTTTGTAAGATTGTTTCCAAAGACAGGTCCTCTAGATGATAAAATCAACTGCTAAAAGGCAGTTACCTGGTCTTTGTTTTATTTGTTTGGCCTCAGCAGTAATTTCACCACAGAATCTCAGATTCTGTACTGACAGAAATAAAGATCTCAACTATGGTCCTGGAGAGCATCAGTCCAGTAATTGTGGAGGTGATATTATTAAATAATCATCTATTTTCTGAAACCTAGAACATTTATAAACACTCCACATATTGATCAAGATTAATTTTAATGGTGAATTAAGCAGAGTTCTATATGTGGGTATACAGTAAACTGTAAGATTTTGTTAATGTTTTCTTGGTCTTTTTTATGTATTTTAACATTTTTTGGATGCATTAGCTTTAGTGTAAGACTTGCATGTATTGACTGATACCTTGAATAATCTTGGTGGTGTGAGTTTAAGTTATTAACAGGCTTGTTCATTTTCAACATCTGTATTTTTGCTGTTCACAGTACACTAGTAAAACATAACCTCTTCTAGGATTTATTAAGTGAAGTTGCTGTATATATTGTTCTGAAATACAATATTTGGTGTTTACAGTAAGTATTTAACAATTTAAAATGTTATACAACTAATAATGGTGTGATGCCAAATTGCATAAAAGTCAGAATATGACCCCATGTTCGATCATCTCCCCCTCCCCCTTTCTAAAAAACATGCGTCTCACTGAAGTAAAAAATAAATCTTCCAGCAGCTCTAATCTTCAGTGGAAGAGCTTCACCACCTCCCGGAAAAAGTCATTAGTAGGTCTAGACCATTAACATGAAAATATGGGCGTCTTACTACAATATTTTAGCAGCAAAAATCTAAATGTCAGAAAGCAGCAAACCTCCAAATTGTCACAGAAACACATGTAAATGAAAGAAACAACTATACTGATTACATTCTGTTTTACACCTACATAAATAAATTTTAATCCACATTTAGCGCATACAAAGCCCTGTAGCACTGCATTTTTTTTTAAACGGTGTTTCTCGAAAAGAGTAGGGGTGTAACCCCAGCATCCTGGCCAGATTTCCCATTGGCCTTTACCAATCATGCCCTCCTAATAATCCCCATCTATGAATTGGCTTCATTACTCTGCTCTCCTCCCCACTGATAGCTGATGTGTGGTGAGTGTTCTGGTGCACTATGGCTGCCGTCACATCATCCAGGTGGGGCTGCACATCGGTGGTGATGGAGGGGATTCCCATTACCTGTAAAGTGCTTTGAGTGGAGTGTCTAGAAAAGCGCTATATAAGTATAAGCGATTATTAATTATTATTATTAATAAAATGAAAATCAATCTGTCCATTATTTTTTCATAACAACAGTGAAGTATTGCAGTTGTGTACAGGTGTTCCTGTATTTTTTCTTTTTGCTTACAGCATTACAGTACATCACTCAATAACCGCTTACCCCATTCATAATGGCCCTGTCCTGGGAAGCACTGGACACAAGGCAGAACACATCCTGGACAGGACACCAGTCCATCACAGGGCACACACACGCACACGGGCACACCAGGCCCAATTAACCTCCCAGCATGCTTTGGGCTATGGGAGGAAACTGGAGCTCCTAGAGACACTTCACACAAACCTAGGAAGAACATGTAAAGTCCACACAGACAGCACCTCACGGATTGAACCCAGGGCCCCAGTGCTTATCTTAAAGTCTTGGGAAATAATTTTACAAACTGGGATTTCAGTACCCATTATAATTCAAAACATGGTGAATATGCTCTCAAAATTACCACATTTTGTAGCTGGAGCATTGCAGATATTCAAGGATTAGACTGAAGAATTAACAGTATTGTGCTCATTAACTGTTCCTCTCGAAATCCTTTGGTTTTGATTCTTTGCCGATACAGTATATGGTACTGTATACAGAAACTAACAGGGTATGATTTTAGTGCTCTTCATTAGTACTCAGAGGTATGATCATGAAGCAATACATTGGAGTTAAGTGTTTTTGAGTTGTTTAACTGGGATTGATGTATTCTGAGGCATTTGTGTTTTTTTTCTGTAGTGGTAAAGTAAGTGCACAATTTTATTTATTGCCAAATATTGGAAATAACAATTATGGTTTTAATAGACAATCTTTAAATATACCTTTCAGCCATCCCTTTTAAGTTTATTTTTTAACAAAAAATTAAATAAAGTTGTGCCACAATGTAAGCATTAAAAACATTCTTTATTAATGTTACATTGTCAATATGTAGCTATAAACCAAGGTCTCACAAAATCCTGTTCATTAGAAAAACCATATACAGAACTTTAAGCCTTGTTAGAACTTGTTAGATACACTCTACATTGGGAAAGGAGTAAATATTTGTTTTTGCAGGAACTGGTTTTCCTGTGTTGAGAAATGTTTTCTTCATGGAATTCAGAAAATTGTCATGAAATAATAAACCTGGTGTTGAAAGGTTACCCTCTAATGCTTGTCTAATGTGGTTATTTACTGCATATCGAAGTGTGGACTCAAGGAGGGGTATTTACAGAGGCAAAGATGCAAAGTCAAATGGTCTTCTATTATGACCTGTTTAATTTACACCCATGATGAAATAGGAATAATAAGCATCAAATACCAGACAGATTTACAGAGTCTCGGCAGTCCTTGCAGGAGAGTCACCGTGAAGTGACACCGGGTTGGCACCTCCTCCCCTGTCTTCTTCCAGTGGAATCGGAAGGTGTTCCTTGTGCAAGCCATTCCTGCGGAGGAAACACACCAGGCTCCAAAGAAGCTCAACGGTCAGTGTGACAGGCCCTGGCCTGGATCCGCTTGGGGTTACTCCAACCCGGGTTCAGGCGCAGTGGGGAGTGAAAGTAGGAAGAGTCCTTGCTGGTCTCCAGGAGGGAGACGGGTGCTGTGGGCAGACACATGCACGCACGCAGGCCACGAGCACCTTATGAGGCAGAGAGAGGAAAGAGAGGACAAGAAAGTGTTCGATCCCACCCAGCTCAGTTGCTGCTTGGCCTTAACCCCCGGGGCTCAACCCAGAGCGAGACCAGCTCAAGCACTTCTTGATCACCTTCTAGACCTCTGGAAAACCAATGCTGCAGACTAGCCACACACACTTGATCTTAGCCAAAAGGCAGAGAAGTTTCCGGTTGTATAAATACACCCTTATTTACTATGCTTTGATACAGGTTTACAGAAATATGTAATTCATGGTGTACATAGTATGTCTTGAATTTAGATTGACCTGTTTAGTTTGTTTGATGGGACAGTATTGTGTGTGAGTATTACAAAAACATCATAATTGCATACAGTATATCTTTTTGACCGTAAAAATATAATATCATTTTTAATTTAGATGAATGTCTGTATTGTTAGTTTCATAACCCTTAAAGCAAAGGTATGGAAGATTGTTACAAAATGGGAAAATATTGTCACTTGTAGCGCTTAAGCAAGGAGTGCAAAATTAACCGTAGCAGGACAGCGTGTCGTACAGTTTACGGGTTATCATCCCACGAAAAAAGCTAATTTTAAAACTATTTCACACATCAAACCTTGTTTGTTTACATCACGTATGATTATGCGTGTCTGAGCGCAGTCATCACCCAGCCACCCCCGTGATTGTGACGGATGAATAATAATATGTGGGGTCAACAGGTAGCTCACAAGTGCGCATATTTATCCTGCTGCCGGTATGTATTTGCCATGTTAATGTTCATTGAAGTGATCATTAAAGAGCATCTCGGAGGATTTACGCATACATTGTAAACTTGGCCCGGGTGAGTACAGAAAGCTGCGGAAATGAAACGCGTTCATTGTAGTTTCTACTGTGAAATAAAAGGATTTGCAGCGGCTCCGCCCTCACAAGGGGGGTGAAGACTAAAACACCTGTTTTACCACCGCCGGCTGCTTTTTAGAATAGCAAATGTTACTCCGTGCACTCCGAACTGGCTCCACCTAGGCGGCAGGAAGATTTGGGAAAATGAACGTTTTCACAGACGCCACAAAAATATGAATATTCTCCTTAACAACCACTTTTTTTTTCTTCAGAAGTAAGAATATACTGTACCGCTTACGGCTGACAGGTACTGTGTATGAGCCGGTTTACCAGAGCGGTGACGTCGCCGCCCTTCCCTGTGATAGCAGGACTACAGCTACTGGGCTGTAGAGAGATCTTTCTTTGGCTCACCGGGCTGGGTCCCTGTTGAGTGACGCGGGAGTCCCGGGTTCGAGCCCCCGACGGTGGGGGGGCCGACCTAATGCGGCAAGGGCGCCCGCCTGAGCACCGTTGCGTTACAATACACACAATTACTTGAAATCGACACGGGTTTAGATCTACTGTATATTTGTTAACGGTAACAGTTGTGATAGAAATTACGTTTATACAGTATGTCTCTGCATTTTGCCAACCTCTCCGCCTGAACTAATGTTGTTCATGATGCAATTCAAGTGTCGTGTCAATTGCTGTTCACAAGCATTTAGCAATCAGCTCCATGGTGTAAGTGGCCGTGTTTCACCCAAAGGAAGTCTCAACTGTGCTGCAGGATGTACAGATGTCCCCCTAAGCTGGTTGTGCCCCCCGGCCTGAGGACTCTGCTGGAGGGGCTAAGCAGAGCAGTGGTGAGCCACCAGCCGGAGAACATCTCTCAGTTCTCCGGCTCTTATTTCGCCGAGCTGCTCCGCTTCAGGGCTGGTGAGTCTCTGCTACTGTATGTGCACGGCATGTTTCCCTAGTGCCAGGGTGTTTCTTTTAATGGGTGCTTTTATTCGTCTTTTTTTTCAGAAAACCCTTCCCTTGACATTAAGGACCTTGTAAAGCAGTCCCAGGCAGCCAAAGGTACATTAAACATCGAGTTTTTGGACATATTCTGAGTTAGTGTGGCACCTTTTAAGTATTATATAGCTCATTTAGACCTAATCTCAAGAGTCTAAGATCAAGAGTCTATGAATAGAGTAATAAAATGTGTGCATTATCTAATTGAGTTTTACATTGTTTTCTCATTTATTTGGCTAACATTGGTGCTGTTGTGCTGTAAAGACCAGGTTAACATTTTATTTGCTAAGTTTCAGTTCTGTCAATAATTTCTAGTGTTGCAGAATGACTGATATAAACATCAAGAAACCATGATATTTGAAAATGACATAAATACTCTAGTTCTTCAATTGCAGTGTTTTTTACACTGTCTGTATTGGTTAAAATTAAACAAGCAAATAAATAAGGGTATTTAAATAGAATTTGCTCACATTTGTACATCTGTTCATTTTATCAAAGCTTTTAACTGTGAGTTTCTACTAAGGAAGAGGCAAGCAAACATTTTATGAAGAAAACAGAAAATGACTTGTGCCCACTGCTGTCCTTTATTTTCTGTTTCTAAAATTAAAATACATAATGTCTAGCCTTAGTATTAAATAACTATTCTGTTTACATTTAAAAGGAGAACTCTTTCTGTAATGTTTTCAGTTGGACAAATATCAGGCCAAGACACGAGAGAGCTGTGCACCCCAGGGATCACTGACACAGTGCTAAGGGAGGCATGCATCCCATCTCCACCAGCAGTAGGACCGGTGGGGTCCCATGAGATAACTCGTGTTTACTATGAGTCTTCCACTCTAACAAAAAGCAGTGCTCCCTTCCCAGTGACCGGAAGCCAAGAACAGCCCGTTTCCGAGCCCAAGACTGATCATGATCAAGAGCCAGAGGTGGTCATTTTCCGGCGAAAGTCCTATATCAGCACTGCCTCTCCAGATGCTGAAATCTTGCTCCAGGATCAGATTCCTTGTCAGGAAATTAATTCGGCTTTGTTTGAGAGAGTGCCATCAAGCCAGTTTGATATCACTTCAAATACAGTGTTGATCAAAACCCCTTCTGTTCCTTGTGAGTATGTGATCGTGGTGCAATCCGAGAACGTTCCTGAGACAATAGTATTCCATAGAAATCCGTCAGAAATTGAAGAAGCGAAAAAGCCTTCCTTATCCACGCTCTCTGCCACCCCACCGCCAGCGCCAGCGGATGAAGAAAAGCCAATTGAATGGGAATGCACCCCAGAGGTGGAACCATTGGAAAGCACCTCTTTACCACTGGAAGAATTTCCTTTGGATATGATCAGTTACCAACTTGCCTCTGTGTTGGAGAACGTGGTAACACTGCCACCTGTTGAACAGCCTGAAGACGCTTGCTGGCGGGACGATAAGGCCATTCTGAAGAAACACTCAGTTTCTGATGAGCTTAGCACAGAATCCCCACTGGGGACAGGAGAATCCCATCCTAGAGTACAAACAGTTCCAAAACCTTACCGAAGACCTCTGTCCGTTAGCGATGCTTCTACTCAGACATTTGCACATGAAAGCACCACTTTTGCTGAGCCAGTCAACATTGGACTTTGTGGACCGTCTTTGGATAAACCATACATTGGTAAAACAGAAGCTTTAATAATCCCCAATTTGGCTTCAAGGTCACTACATACTGAGCCCACTCCTGAATGTACAAGGACACCTGGTAAGGCTACAGTAGTTACTTAACCAATATGTATTCAGCTAATTGACAAAACAAATTGAGGCTCTCAGAGAGTACTGCCTGGCATGTTGTTTTATTTAGTTTAATTTGTTTTTTGCACCTGCTTTTGTAAAAAAAAAAAAAGAATAATTCACATTTATGACATAAAGGGTTTAAAGGGATTTTTTAAATCACCCATCACCCTACAAACACAGAGATGATCTTCAGTTTAACTTTATTATTTTGGAATGACTGTACACTTTGTCACCCTTTCAAATAATGTCACATTGAGAACGAGTAGTGCAGAAACATTTGTTTCTTAAAGAAGTAGGCAGACACCATGCATGCAGGGATACAATTGTGTGTCTTCAGATTAACAATCTAATCTGATTACTCATCTTTTAGTCCCTTGCAGGCATGTCGAGACTAGATTACGATGTTGAGTACGGTCTTTTGAAATCCTGTCTTGAGCCTCTTCAGAGCTGCAGTCTTCCGCTCATTTCTGCTGTCTGCTCTTCTTTCCCAAGATCAGCGTAGAGTTGCGGGAGCCACGCCCGTGAGCGAGGCTGCTGAGGCTGGACCGGAAGGTGTCTTCGGGCCCCTGGGGGCCCTTTGTGTCCTCACGGGCCCTGAGGCACGGGGTGGGGTGCCATCCGTGGTCCCGTATCACACCCCTCCCTCGGTCATACAGTGTGGTCCTGACCACGTGCTGATAGCTGAACAGCCTGGTCTTCCTCTGTATCCGGGCTTTGGGCAGCAGCACAGCGCCCCCTACGTGACAACAACCTTTCCAGCCTTGCATGGACTTTGCTCCCACCATGTGGCTGACCAGCACTATGCAGGAAACACCTTCTTTCAGGCACCCTTCCCTCAGGTGCCCCCACCGCACTATCTCGTGATCAGCCCCCCTGCTCCCCAGGACCTCAAGACGGCTCCCTTGTCGTGCCAGCTGCTGGCTCAGGAGTGTGCCCACCCCCAGGGGCTGCGGCTCAGCCCCCTGGGTGAAGCAGCCCAGACACCAGCGGCGGCCGGCAGCCCCCCTGGCCAGCTGGGGCAGCTCCTGCAGGTGACCCCGGAGGTGCTGGCAGAGCCAAGACACACGCCGCCCGCAGGTGATTTGACTCCCAATGAAACACCCCCCCCTAGCTCGCTAGGAACACCCACTCCTGGGTGGAAAATCATGTGTTTTTTACTGCAAGATGTCACCTTGCGCTGAAAAAAGTATAGAGAAATTGGTAAAGGCACTGGGTAACTGGAAGCAGTTTATACTACGTTACTTGCAAAAGATAATGTATGTTATTTAAGTTCACTGATTTAAATGTCCTGCCCTGAGCTCATTATATACTGCTTTATGAAAATGCACTGGTTTTATCAGACTTTACCAAAGGGCTCCGAAAACAATGCAGAGAAAGATTGTTTTTTTCTTTACAGAAGGGATAACTTTTTTTTTTTCTCTAAACAGGCTTACTCCTGAATTACTGCCCCACACTCACGGGGTAAAACAGCTCTCCTTGCTTAGTTCTTGCAAAGCCAGCGTGGTAAGGATTTTAAAAGGGACTTTATTCATTCCTCCTTTGCAGTCTTTATCAGGGTGTGGAATGTGACAGGTATAATGCAGCAAAACCAAAAAAGCAGAATCAGTCTGGATAATCAGGAATAGTCATAGGAAAGGTTTAAATCATTATATTTACATATAATGTATTTATTCATAGAACATACAGTAGTTGAAAGGTCTAAACTGTGCCATTTTTATGCATAACGTGAATCACAATAGCATAAATACATCAACAATATGGATTTAAAAAGCCAGTGTGTAAAATTAAGTCAAAAGGTGCCAGCAGTCTCTGAAACCTTTGTTAGCCCTTGGAGGATTATTGAAAGCCTTTATATATTACAATATTATCTTCAGTCTCTTTCTTTTTAGGTTATGAAGGCTGGCGTTTTGTTTTGCAACTGAAAGACAGAAGGTTTTGTGATTCTGCCTCTTATCTTTCTAAGCAACAATAAACCGATGTTATGCAACTTGCTTTTTGCCTGTTTTGTATTGTTTCTTGCCCTTGTACTGTAATGGAGTCCACTGATATCTTCAAATATAGCTTTCAAAGTCCTATATCTGGTATAGAGATACAAAGGTCACAGCTCAGCTCAGTGAAGTATTGAAAAGAGAGATGCTAAATGTATATTCTCCTGCAAAGCTCAGAACATGAGCCTTTCAAAGTAGTTTTTTATACCTCACAGTATTTGACACTGTATTTCCTATCTTCCAGTTGCTCTCTCTACAAACATTTCACACAACAGGGTTCTGTCTCTTCCTCAGCATGCACAGAACTTTCCAAAAACCCTTTCATACACAGCACAAATCCTGCACCTAGAAATTAACAACCATTCCTTTAATTGTTTGCAAATTAAAATAACCCCATGAAATAAAAAGTGTAGATTATCATGTCTCTTTTGTTATGAAATCCATAATGTTTAACAACTGAGCCCTTTTTCTGTACTGCAGACAAGTGGTCATTTTTTTAATAAATTTTCTTCTAATATTCCAATATTATAAAATACACAACAAGAGTCTATAGGTTCCACGACATTCGATTTCCCTGATTCAATTTTCTGACAGGCTTCCCAACCCTCACAGCAAATTGTTGTGTTTGTAAATATAATCATTTATGTTTAAAAAAGTGTAAAATCCTTATATTTGACAGACTAGAATGTTGCTAACATAGCAACAGTATCTAGGGCAACCAGTGGAATTTTCAATAAATAACTGTTGGACTCAAAAACAGTTAATTAATTTACTTATTTCAACTGTGTTTTAAAAGACAAATTATGAGGCTGAGATAGGCTCTGCGCTGTACTGGAAGACCTCCAGTAGTTTGATGCCCTACTGGAGACTCAGTCTTCAATGTAATTGTCTGGACAGCTAAGATTTGAAAACCCATAGGAGATTTTTGCTTGTAAACTGAAAAACCAGCAATGAGCTGCTGTAGTCCAAACTTATGTGGTAAGTTGCTTTGTTAATAAAAATAACTGTACAGCATGTACACTTTTAACAGACAAGCAACATGGACTGAATGACTTCCACCTTGTTTGTAATCTAGTGTTGTAAAATTTTTTATCAAATTTGGTTAATTCAAATGTAATGAACAGACCAAATTATGTACCTTATTCATTTTCTATCTTTTTTGGACCTTTCAAATTGTAAACACAGTATTTGTAGTGTTTTCAAAAGTTTGAAGTGTTCATAATAATAATAATGTAATTGACTGGAACATTTTTCTGAACTTTGACATTACTGTAAATGTCTAAAATAAAACATCCTCTTTTATGGAAAGTTGCTTGTGTTGGGAATATTGGACGTTTCCTTTTTAAAATAATTTCAAGCTACACCACTGACACTTTCAAAAGTGCTTTACAGAACATTGTTTTTTTTTACCAACCATGATAAAAGCTAAGTATAGTATATCAATAATCTAGAAATCTAAGACACCTCACATTCTGCACGTGGCAGCTGTCTAAACCTCCACACCACAAACACATCGGGCTCTTATTAAACAGAATCAAGTCGATAAGGCACTAAAACTTAACAGGCATAGAGATGCAAATGTAAAAAAGAAGACATGAAAATAAACATCACTAATTTGCTCTAGAAAACTATTTTGTTAGAAAAACATGACAGTAGTTGTTAGAAACAAAAAGAATCCCAAGTAAAAAATATGAAACATGCAAAAAAAAGTGAAATGTAAGTTATATACCAACCCCTGCTTTGTGTTACAGAATGTGTTTTTCTTTAATCAACAAAAGCTGAACTGGACATGGATGAGAGCAAATTATTTGATTTAAGTAATGACAAGCACCCAAGATTGAAAACAAATTGATTGATTATTGATTATGTGCTGTTGTAAAAATGAGGCAGACAGTTAAGAACAACATTTTTACAGAGCAAAAATGTTGTTTATATGATATAATTGCTTTCCATCTGAGAAAATATCCTATTAAATTGAATTTGCACTTCATCCAATACAAAGTACTACAACCACTTACAGTATGAATGAAAATCTTAAATTCAGAGGGTACTCTGGATTGCAAAGGTTTCCACAAAGTCAGTGGAGAAAAAAAGCTGGCCCACCCCCTGTGATCTGTGAACACAAAATGGGCTTCTTTGAGACTCAGGTGTTAAGATGAAATTAATGAACATGTTACTTTTTATTTGGTTTGAATGGATTTTTTTCTTTCATGTTTTTAGGTGGGGAGGTGTCTGTTGCAGTGGGTTACAAGGACAAAGACAAGAAAACAACACAGGCTTCTGCTAAACCAGATGGTACACAACCAGATGCCCCCCGGAAACCTGATGAAACACCATGTGCACACAACCAACCACCAGCAGTAAAAGAAGGTACACTTTCAAAGCAAGAGCCATCCCCAAAACCCTTCTCAAGTTTGATAAAACATTTTCAGAAACCGCACATCTCCAGCATCTTTAGAGGACGTTTTCCTTCACTTCAAGCTAAGCAAGATACTGCATCCAAGACTCCAGGAGAATCTGCTACAGCCCCCTGCAGTGCTGAAAAGTCCTCAGATCCAGAGTCAGTTGCTATCACTGCACCTCCTGCCCCTCTGACAAATGTCAAAGCACAGTCTCCTCATCACATGATTAAGATGAAAATTGACCACTCTGGAACGGTCATTTTGCAAAAAGTTGTTCCAGATCAGGGGAAAGAAGAATCCTTTGTGGTTATGGAATCAATGGCTCGTCCATTAACAACTGAGCAAGCAGCAAACATCTTTTTTGAGGTTCAGACCCCCAAAAACATGTCACCCCAGGAGACTGCAAGCATTGTTACTACAGCTGCTGGACAGGAAGTGCCCACTGTAGCTATGGAAACACTGCCTGCCAAGCCTGAGCCTGTCGTCAGCTTTGTGATAAAACATTTACCGCCAACATCCATGTCAAGCCCAAGGCCAGGAATACTATCCTATATCCCTGCTGAGGTCAGACCTGTCCCTGTTGACACTGCTAAAGAAGAGCCACCATCACCAGGAACAGAACAGGCTGTGAAAAAAGAGCCAGGTTAGACATTGTTTTCTCTCTTAAATGCAATAGTGTAGGAGCAGCCACCCTCATCAGTGGTGGCTCTGTGACTAAGGATCTGCACCTATGGCTGGAAAGTTGCTGGTTCATATCCCATGGCTGGCAGAGGAAACCTACTCTGTTGGGCCCCTGAGCAAAGGCCCTTAACCCCAACTGCTCAAGGGGTGCCATATAAATGGACAGTCACAGTCCAGCACAATCTTATAGACTGTCATTGAATCGTTGATTTGTGAAAAACTGGAATTCAGTGTGTGAGCTGTTACCAATTTATTAAGTTAATTGATTAATGTAAATCAGAAATGGTCTATGAGCCTCGAAAGCTACAGGGTGTTGGTTATATTTTAAACAATCCTTAAATTACATTCCTGAACAAATTATGTACTTGTGGTCGAAAGTAAAGTGGTTTCCAAAGGTTTAAAAACTGGTGATGTAATAGTGACCTATTAATCCTGTGAGATCATGATTCTATAACCATGGCTGGCAGCCCCTGAAATAGAAAACACTTAAATTACTATTATCATATTCTATTTTTTTTAATAGATTACAGTTGCCTTCATAGCTTGCTCTCAAAAAGGTAATTAATATTCTTTAACAGGAAACTATTCATCCCTAACAGCCTGAAATCTATCAGTTTAAAATTATTTTCTGAATTTTACATAGTTTCTTGTGTTGAGAAAGTGCTATATCTTATATTGCACTTCAAACAGTAAGGTTTAATCAATTCAAATATTCAGTGTTATTATTAATTATACTGCAAAATACTGCATCAGTATGTGGTTCGCAAGAGGGGGCAACAGTAATTGAAGCATTATAGCTACTGCAGGGAGCCCTGCAGGTATTACCTGTGAGATAATTAGTCATTTCTTGAGTTCCTGTACTTCAGGAGCAGTTCATAGAATTGTCACTTCTGTCTGTCAGTTTGATGACAAGATTATACTTAATTAGCAAAGTCCTTATTGGTGACAAAGGTACTGTAGCTTTAGTCTACATTCACCGACCGGTTACAATGAAGCAGACTGTGCTCTGCTTTTTATAAAGTCTAGATGTATCCTGCCTACTTTTCCAAAACTGCATTTTTAGGTAAATAGCCTGATTATCAAGCTGATAATTTAAGATGAAAGTCTGTTCACCTAGAGGTACATGAAGCGTTCCTAAATGAGAAATAAGCAGCTGTAATAATCACCATCCTCACCAACACTTTCAATAACTGCTTATCCAATTCAGGCTCACAGTGGTCCACAGGCTGTGCTGAGAAGCAACAGGCACAATGCAGTATACATCCTAGACGGGACACCATCCCAGGGCACACAGACACAGACACAAAAACACACTCACACCAGGGTTTTCCCTGAAGCCAGTTAACCTCCCAGTATGTCTTTGGACTATGGACTGAAACCAGAGCACCCAGAGGAATCCCACATGAATGCTGGCAGAACATCCAGTACAAACTCCACACAGATGGTAACCCAATAACTGAACACAGGGCACCAATGCTGCAAGGCACCGATGCTAGCAACTGCGCAACGGTGCCGCCAAGCTGTAATAAAGTAACTTTCAATTTGTTTCTCCCACAGATTTGCCGACTGCAATGTCAGGCAGCATCCCAGATGCCTGGATGGGTCACGAAAACCCGCCAGCTCCAGTATGGAAGCTCTATCGCCTGTCAGATCTCAGAACACCTGAGTTAAACACTCCGGTTTACTCCCAGCAGCCTCTGAGCTGTGTCACAGTACCTCAGTTTGGCCCGCTGCTGAGCCCAAGCCCACCTGCAGTCCAGAGCGTGGGTCAGCTGTACTCCACCAGTGCCATAATCCCATGTCACCATCCTCAGCTGGTTACACAATCCAACATGGTCATGCAGCCTGCCATGTCCTCGTTCGTGCCTGTCCAGAGTCGAATGTCTGGCCAGCAATTTATTGTCATCAATCCGTTAGACCGGCAGAAACCTCACCCAGCACCCATTCCTGTTGTTTCCGATCAAGTCAATCAAATCTATTCCCCAGCCAACACTTTGCCAAGCTCTTCTCCTGCTGACTCGCATAGCGGCTCTGCCGGTGTGGAAGGTTCAAACATGGCCAGAGTAACGAGCCTCCTTCCAGGTAAGAAAGATACAGTATTTCCTTAGATTTTCTCTTTCATTAATATTGGTAGCTACAGTCCAATACTGCAGATTTGATGCTTATCTTTTCTCTTTGTCAAGACAAAGTGCTTAATTGCCGAAAAAATATTATTCTAGCTTGTACTTGTGTAAAATGAAACCCACCAAAACAATATTTAAACTATTTTAAACAATCTTGGAAACGATTTCTATACTACTGAAGAAAAGCTCATTGTTTTGTCAGCATTAATGTCATTTCTTAAAACTTTAATTGTTCTGTCTCTTTGATGTTAATTCCTCTAAAATAACATACACATATCCAGACATTTTAATATTATTGAAACAGTTCATTAAACAGAACACAATGTATTATGGAATCACACAAAAGCACACATAAGTACCAAATCGACTGACAACAAGAATTTTTAATCATTACATGATTGGTTTTTGTTAACGTAACATTAATGTAGTTTACATGCCCCAAAAGCATGGTTAGTTAATAACAAAAACATCAAATGTTACATTTTTTATGTTGCCACTAGGTGGGAGCAAAGGTACATTATAAAACACATTTTCTGTGAAACAGAATATGGAAAATTTTCTATTTACTTAATCAAGAGTAAAGAACGTTTAAGTGTTTAAGTGTTGGAATGCATATAGAAATTAAACTACAAATTAATTCCTTAAGCTTCCATTTTTGTAAAATCCATGATAATACACAAATCAAAGACAGTTCTGCACTTTGATAACTTATTGGAGAAAGAAAACTTTTTTATTTCAATTTAATATAGGGAAGTCAACAAATGATAGCAATCCTAACAAGACAGGATAGTATGCTGCTGTTATGGTAAGTTCTTCTTATTATTATGTTTTAAGCAAATAAATATTAAACTAATCCAATTAATAGATATTTACGTAATTACTTTTCACTTATGATAGTGTGAATGTTCTTGTTTTCATTACATGATTCTCACATCTGTTAGATATTGGTCATTGATTATCTGAAGGTTAATAAAACATTTAAGGTTGTGGAAAGCATGTCTCCATAAGCTAGAATGTATAAAATAAACATACCTTTTACGACTGAAAACATATCATCGCTCTACATGGAAATTGGTGTTCAAGTTGTTACTTAACTACAATGTACCTCCTGTTTACTAACATATGAACCATCGACTGCCTTGACTAATTACTCTTCTGTTTATTTCAGTGTCATCCAAAGCTGTCTCATCCAAAAACTTCAGTTTTTCGCAGACCGTTCTTTTCCTGTACTTGCAAATAAACAGTTCTGGCAAAACAACATACAGTACTGGTTATTTAATAGCATATAGGTTGTTAGAACTCTCTAAGATTAGTTAAGATTATTTTATGCATTTTTGAACATCCCTTGGTCTTTTTTCAAAAATACCCAACCAACAGTATCAGAAGCGTAAGTGAATTTCAAACTAACACTAATACGTGGGGACATGAGGTAAGGGACACAAAAAGTTGAGAATGAAGAGGGAAGCACCTACAGGACACCCATGTAAACACAAGAACACAAGTTCCACACAGATAGCACCCCAGGAACCAAACCCAGGGCCCCAATCCTGTGAGGCAGCAATGCACTACCATGCCATTCTTTATTTATTTATTCCAATACAGTAGTTGAGATTAGTTAACAATGGGTGTGTAACTTCCCTGGAAAATTAACTATAATCATGGCAGCCCTGCCAGTGCATCACTTAAATATTTGTCACATTTTTAGTGACAGTCTCACAGTGGGAACCAGGTCACACAATGTTCACCTGCCAGAGACATCTGCATCTGTGTCACATTTCTGTGTTCCTCTCTCTGCGTTTCACTCACTCACACCTCCACTACTCATCACTGACTCTTAATTAGGCATTGGAGTATCCAGCCAGTCACAGCCCTCGCTCCAGCACCCCACTCATCACTACCCTGTCACACTAACCTTGTCACCCTCTCCAGTAACCAAGCAGCTCTGCTCTTTCACCACCTAATCTTCTCCTCACTGCTCAGTCTCTTCCTGGAGCAGCTGATCCTGTTTGGCCAGGGACCCTGCTCTTCCTGACAGTCACGCTAACCGCTGACACAGTGGGGGTCACAGGTCGGTTCTCTCTCCCGCTATCAGGCCCAGACCTTTCTGGTGAGGGTGAACACCCAGAACACTCCCACCTCCTTCTTCGCTCTGCGCTATGGGGAGAAGAAGCTCAGTGGCTTTATTAGGAGCCACCACCCAGCAACCTCAAAAAGCAGTTCTCTCTCCAAGACACCTCCCACTATCCCACAGAGTGCATCACAAATGGGTAGAATCCACAACTGAAAGCGAAGATATAGTCAGCACTGAGTGTTGGTCTAATCCTAAAATGGATCAAGCATGAAAGTTTGAAGAATTTTGAAATTAAGGTTCTAGAGGAGGTAAAACCTTAATCTCGTCCACCTACATATAAGTACCTGGATTCTAACTACCTGACAACTGCGGATTTCATGAGGTCATTCTCAATGTTTATTGTGCACATAAACCACCTTTCTGGCACTGCCCTGTAAAAACGGTAGAAGTGTAAGTCTGAATCATTTTCATTTGAACTCCATTTTTACAACAGCGGCCTGTTGTGACAAATCTCACCTTTATGGTTTGTGGCTGCAGGGAACTGAAGACATGCAAAAAAAACAGTCACTTTAAGGTGCAGGAGGATTTATTTCAGATTTTATGCAGGTCTGATACATTCTGCAAGATTCCTGATTCTGCAAGAGAAGCTCCTCCTTTACTTAAATAACCTCAAGAGAATGTGAGAATGTGCATTTTAACCCTTAACCAATAATCTAATAATTAACTAATCACCACCTGCTAAGCCTTGTACAAGTGATAGAGGCCTCTACTGGCAAGGCGCTCCCTTTATTAGAGTCCAATCAAAGACTGGCATGACACCCTTACTGTATAAAACCCTTTCTCTTCTAATGTAAAACAGACACAACTCATAACCGCCAAGATTATGACGGAAGATAATAATTTCTATTCCTGGACTGACCAAAATGTCTCCAATACTCTCAGAACATACTGTGGTGTCTCCGGGGGAAAGTTTATGTAAATGAAAGTAGTACTCACACCACACTTTTCTTTCCTGAGTTTGTGGCGTTTCTTCCTCCAACTATCTTCCAAACACAGTCCGTAATCCGTTCCCTTAATCCTGATCTGATCCGAATTCCAAAAGTCCGTAATAAAACCAATCCGCGATGTATCCTTATCCAGTGTCAGTAATCCAAAAACCATAAACCTGTTCTCCTTTCAGTAGTCCGTTATTCTTTAGCCCGATCTTTAACATACACCTCTTTCCTCTCTTTTCCTCCAAACCGCATTCACCGTATCGGCTTCCGCCCTGTTCACTGCCTCCGGGGCACTTATATTTCGATTCCTGATGCGGCTCAGCTGTGTCTCATTGTTTCTCAGGGTAGACCCTTTCCATTTACCGGTCAGCTGATTATTTTTGGCCATATCTAGTATTTTAAGTAGGTCATTCCCAAAATACCTGTTATGAATGACCCTTCCCCTGGTCATGTTACAATACATAAACTCCTCCAAAATTTAGGCTTGTGGGCCAAAGTCACACATTCCTTCAACCCTACACATTGCCCAGCTAGACGCAGGTATTATGTATTCTTTTTATTTTCTCAATTGACTATGAAAAGTTAAAAACAGATATACAGTACTCAGCATTAGGCACCTTATTTTTCAACGGATTGGTTAACACAAATGTATTGTATTCTATTGCGCAGGATATGAGATGTGTGGATGGCATTTGGAACTCATACACTCCACCAACAAAGTCAGCACCTTGGAAACCCCAAGACTAAATTATGCCCGCTCTTACAGGTGGTGCAGAGTGGGACTGGTCCTCTGTGTTGACATCTTGTTCCTCAAGACACTTTGCAGTCCTGCACTCAGTACTGACACTCGCAATAACAACAGCAGAAAGAGATCTGGAAGTGAAACCCCATTAAAAATATGAAGAACAGGAGAGTGGTGACAGACAAGAGGTGCTCATTCAGCTCATTTAGCTTGTTTGTTTTTTTCTAACTGGTCCCAGGCTCTCACTCAGCCACTTGCTGCATGAACCCAGGGTACCAGCTGTAACAACATGGCCAGATTGCTTGTTCCTTTGAGCCTGGTTACCTGTCTCTGGACTGCTTTCAGAGCAGCGGTATGTATTTTTGTAATATAGTGAGCAATATTGAACACAATATTCAGCCAGCAGCCATATCAGCCTGCAGCTCAGCAGTGTGAGCCTGGACAGTACCTGAAAGGGAGACTTCCTGGGAAAGATAAGGCTGCTGGAAGCCTTCTGAAAATCTAAATGTCTGATATCGTACGCTCTGTATCCACTAGTGCTGTTGTTCAAAGAACTCTTAACAAGCTGAGCAATACCTCCTGTATCTCTTCTAAATCCAAGTGGTTACACATCTTGAGAAAGAAGAAAAAAAATCAATTGTGTTAACAATGAGGAACCATGCTTTACTTTTGCAAACGTGAAACCATGAATGATAATTTCATCAGGGGTAATAAACCGGGAATAATGAACTGGGCTTTAGGGAAAATCACTACATTAACGAAAATGTTATGCATTTTCCATTGAATATTAAATTTTTACGAACTAAGACAATAGTACATAACTTTCCTCAAGAAAATACGTTCAGATTTCTTGAAATTGCTGTAGCCAAAAATTGTTATTGCTGGTTTAGCTGTCTGGGGATTTTCGTGAGAAATTACATAACGTTGAATTGCATCACGGAACGTATTGTGGCGTCACTGCTACAAACGCCCGGGTTTTTACTTCATGACCTCCGACGCCGGAGCCAGACCCCGGGACCAGAAGAGCGAGGAGCGGCACTAGACAAGAGTAATTAGTCCTGTAAGAGAATGATACAGAACCTGAAGTGAACGACAGAAGGTCGGGTTACGGTGTATTACTCGACTGCCTACATCAAGCGTTTACGTTCATTTTACGCTCATTATTTTACTGTACGTTCAAAAAAGTGTCTCGCCCTCCTTTATTTTTATAAGCGAATTTGCTTTGTACTTTCTTACGGGAATATTCTCTATCACTTGGCAACGTTGCGCAGTACAATCGCAATATTATTTTAATTAAAATCTTTTAGCAAATAAGAGGGGGTAATTTATTTTTGTTTAGGGTTATTTTCGGCTACTGTTCTATCGACAGTAATTTATTTTCAGGTAGTTGGAAGTAATGTTTAAAAGCGGTCTCATTATTACATAAGCCTACACGCACGTACAGTAGTTGGCTTTCTTCATCCTCCTCGGCACTCTCCGCTACGGATATCTAAAAAAACCCCGTGTAAGCATAGTGCGTTTATGCAGTCACAGGTTTGGGACTGGGAGCGCCGAGATGTTCAAGCCCCCACCGACACTCATCGTGCCCTACGGCCTGAGAAGCCTGCTGGCGTCCGTCAGCAGGGCTGTGGTGACGGAGCAGCCGCCGCAGATACGCAGCTTCATCGCCTCCTACTGCTCCGAGCTGCTCTCCTTCAGGAACGGTGGGCGGCTGTTCGTTTCACGGGCCGAGCGCAGCCGAGAGAAAGCATCTGTTTTTTTTATTTACTGTACTGTACCTGTGTTCTGATTTTTCAGAAAATCCTTCCACGGACATAAAGGACCTCGCAAAGCAATTTCAAGAACTAAGAGGTAGGCTGTCATATAAATACAGTGACACGTTTGAATAATATGTACATTTGATGAATAAATTAGTTGGCAATGCTTGACATAGCTTGGTGCCTACAGCTACAAACGTTGTGTGAATTTTGTTATTTATCCATTTGTGTCTATTATTTGGTGATAGATAAAAATACAGAACACTGCAGCAAAGAATTGTACATAATCTTTACCAAAACATCCTCTTAAAGTTTATACATTGCAGAGACATCTGTGCACACTTAATTTTAGCCTTGCAAAGGAGAACACTTGCGGTGAAAGGTGGGAAATAAGCAGAGGGTCACTTTGACCTAAATGCGTGTTGAGAAAAAAGCATAGAGTTTGATTTTGAAGGAAGAGATAAAGGGGAATTCTGAAGAATAATAAAAACATGTCCACGTGTTTTTAAGTGACTGGGACAGATGAGGAATGCAGTCTGTTGCTGCACTGTTATTCAGAAGCTTTAAAGTAAAAGAGGTGAATCTGTTGAAGTTGCGATGGGTTGGCACCCTGTGTGGTTTTCTTGTCTCTGTCGCTGTGCTTCTGGGATAGGCTACATTGCTGTGAGTGTCACCAAGATATGGAGCTTTCTGGTCATGGGTGGTAGAACTGGTGCTCCATTTGTCCCTCTGTAAAAAATTTCAAATCCACGTCTTTCCTTTTATATTGTGAGTGCCAGAAGTTGTTACCTTATAAATGCTTATATACTGTACGATACCTGTTGAAAACAGGAGTTGAAAAAAGAGTTTCTTTCCAGTTGAGCAAATATTTTTATAATCTTGCTTATTAAACTGATGAAGCTGGAGAGAATCGCCTACAACACTTAAGTTAGACGTAAGACTTGCAATCAAGTTAAGTAACATGAATGTGGGTGCTGTAATGTTAGTCCTGACAACTAATCAGAGCTCTAATGTTTGCAGAAGAGGAGGTTCAAGTGGCAGAGGAGAAGAAAACGGCAAAGACACCTTGGATTGCAGTGGATGTGTTAGATGAAGCATCTCTCCAACCCGAAGCATCTGAAGACATTACACACGTTCATAATGAACCTTCCTGTGCACGAGACGGTGATCCTCCGTCTCCCCTTCATGCGTCCTCGTCAGAAACCAGTCAGCCTGTTCCTGAGACCCCCTTGGTCAGTGGACGAGTGGAGGAGCTTGCAGATCAGCAGCAACCACTGATGCGGAGTTCCTCTGCCATACAGTCTGGTCCAAGTGATTCTCCTGTTCACGCCAGTCCTGTAAAAGCAGGAGAAAGTGAGAAAGCACTCTGTGGCAAAACGCCTTCGCAGTCTTCACATGTCACATGTGAACCCGACTCCCAGAAAGTGCCTTCAATGCAAGATGTCACACGAGTGAAGCCATCACCACCCGGGGATGAAGACACCCAAGAAAACGAACCTGAAATAAGTTACATTGAGGGTAATGTTCGTGAGAGGCCCAGTGAAGGTGATGGAGATTTGAAAGGTGCAGCTCAGCCGTTGTCTGCTGAAGTACATATTCAGTCCATACATGTAGGCCATGCAGAGCTTGTTCCTGTGCCCAAAGTTTCTCCTTTATTTGCAGAAGTGGTTTCTGCAGGTGATATTCCGAATCAAGAGGAAGATGGCACGGCATCAGCAGTCGGTGTTGGGCAACCAATTTCTTATTTTGCAAAGGATTCAGCTTCTTGTGATGCAAAGACACCTCCTAAACAGCCTTCCAAACCCGAATCTTTGGCGGATAGCAGCAATTACAGCTCCAGTACTGTTCATGCAGTAGATAGCAAAGATGTGGCACCTTCTCGAGCATCTGTTAGCCCTCCAGCTGGTGAAGAAGAGATACATAAGCCTGTTGTTGTGAGATCAGCTGTATTCCAGAGAGTTCCATCAGATAAATTAGTTAGCACATTAGACACAGTCTTGATCACTACAGCTTCTGTTCCCTCTGAGAATATAATCATTATTCATGCTGAAAATCTCCCTGAAACAATAGTATTCCAAAGTGAGGCTCAGGCATCAAAGGACAGTTTAAAACATTCCAGCTCAGTCAGTATTCCTGCTGCCCTCCATCTGGACCAAGAGGGACAATCAGCGACTATAGAAACCATCGCTGAAGCAGTTGTATACCACAAAGTTCCTTCTGTTCATGAACTGCCTCTGCCATCATTGATCGTGGATAAAATTCAATCAGCTCCGCTAGAAGAGTCACCTGATCAGAAAGCAAGCACCGCAGACCACGTTCCCAAAGAGCTTGCTTCTCAAGATAACTTGGGCAGTGAGCAGGGCAGTCTGACTCTCGGGTCTTCTGAAGGACCCGTCCCTTCTGTACTTGAAGAAGTGCCAACCACTGAACCAAAAACAGAGACGCCCACTGAACCAGGACATGAATGCTTAAGAGCTGACAATGAAACACCTGCACTGTCTTCGTCCTTAAGTTCAGAAACGACACCACCCAGCACCCAAGAGGCTGTAGAGATTTCCTTAGCCGAAAGGTTTAGGCTGCCTTCTATCCAGTTAGCAGTTGCTGAAACAAAGGCCTTGATAAGATTGCTGGTAGCTCCATTGCAACTGAAAAAGAAGCCTGGTAATATTAATACCTTTCATATGAATATGCAGATATCACTGACTTAGAATACTTTAAAGTTCGTAATATTGAGTATTTTATATTGGCTGAACCTACCATGGTAAAAGAGAGAACAGAAATTATTTTTGTGCTGTGTTTCAAATTTCAGATCTGGCTAGCAAAACAGCGTGTGTTATGTTGAAATGAAGTATTTATGTTTTCAAGTAAAATTGACAATTATTTAAAAAAAGTTAGGTACATCGATTAGACCCAGTCATTTATTTTGTTGTCTGTATACTGTATCTAGATGAGGTTTAGATCTATTGTTGCTTAGATGTTTATGTTCTTATGGATGTACAGTGGCAATATAAAAAAGAATATAATATATATACTTGCCAAAGTACGATAGAAACAGATACAAATGATTTTGAGAAGCTAGAAGTACAAAATCTTATTTTTTTTAAAAGAGTTGTTTTTTTAAATAAGAGATGTCTTGACTGCTCCTTCAGTCTCTCCCGCAGAGAGTCCTTCACAAGAAGAAGAAGATGAGAGTATAACAGTTTCAGATACATTGCTATCAGACACTGCCACCACAGTCGATGCTGAGGAAAAATGTCTTGGAGATTCATTGCACACGTCTCCCACATCAGGTGTGGAGAAACCCAGCCCCCAGTTATGACATGAAGAATCACATGTATTTGCTTACATTTTCAATCATGACGTACTTAGTGTACAAATGTTGTTGGAGGAGTTAATGGGGAATTGCCATTAGCGTGTATTGAACTCCCAGTCCAATTCAAGGCTGTGAGGGAGCTGGAGCCTGTCCCAGCAAGCAACAGGTGCAAAGCAGGGTCCACCCTGCAGGGGACGCCAGTCCATTGCAGTGCACAAACACACACTCACAGCAGAGCCAGTTTTCCAAGAAACCAGTTAACCCACCATCATGTCTTTGGACTGTGAGAAGAGACATGCAAACATGGGGAGAACATACAGACTCCATGCAGATAGCACACAGAATTGAACTTGGGGCCCCAGCAGTGCAAGGCAGCAATGCAGACTGCTGTGCCGCACCTGTGTTGAACTTAATTAGCTTGAATTCAATAAACAAACAAATGCTTCATCTGAACCGTGCTGCCCTCAGCCCTGCAGTGCATCTAGACCACATTCATGCTGATAAACCCCTTGTCTTTAAAGGTTTGAAGTCTTTACGTTATACATGAGGATTCTACAGATTATTGTAGAACACTGTTCCTCTGCAATCAAGACCATAATCGTAAATATTTAATTATGTTTTAAAAAAAGGCAATGCTGAAACTCTTGTTGTTTTCCTAAGTGGGAGGTGTGAAAGAGGACCACCCAGTTTCTGAACTAGGGCAGGTTTTGCCCTCTCCTGAAGAGGGCGATCGAGCTCAAGAAGCCCCTGAGGCTAGTGGCTCTGAGGGTGAAGGCTGGGTAGCTGCACCTGCTCTTCTCCAGGTGTCTCAAGAAGGGCCAACTCTGGAGAGGGGGTTCGGTAAGGCTTTCCAAGAGTTGGGTTTGGATCTGCAAGATTGATCTTTTTGTCTTCAAAACTAGCCTGCGGTGCTCTCATCAGTTTTTTAAATAGGAGAGGGAAGAACCAGTTTAAAACGATGCTATAATTTTTCTAAATTATTGTGTAACACATTTACAACAAAGTTGCCTGTTGTAATTGTACTCAACTCAGATGTACCCCCTTCTCACTAAATGTCGTGTGAAGATGGATGGATGGATGGATAATCCTGTTTTTACAAATTTGTTAACATGGTTTTTGTCTGTTTACTGTATGTGAACCAGGTGAAGGAGCTCAGCTGACAGAGGACTCTGATGCACTAGTGCTGGCAAGGCCAGAAGACCCTGTTCTTCTCCGGGGTGAGGACTCCCCAGCAGAAGACCCCAGAGTAGCTGACAGAAGGGAGCCCTCTCACAGTCTGCTGGAATGTGTTGTTCAGGCCCCCGATACTCTACAGACCTCTGCAATCCCCAGTGAAGAAACACAAATTGGTGAGGCAACACCCGTCATGTATTTCTATCAATAAGATGTTGACAATTATAAACGAGGTGTCAAGCTTGTAATCTGGCTTGCTCTAGAGACCCCTACGGGAAGTTTGTGAATCATATCCACAATACGGCAAGTTTCAGCAGCTAATAAACTCCATTTACCATTTACTGTAAAAATGTTTTTTTTTAACATGCCATAGAGGTGGAGACAATATGAAATACTGTCATTGAACTGCCCTGAATGTACAGGTATCAGTTAGGTTGTTAGGTTCTGCTTATGAAGAAGTCACATTAAATTTTTATTCTTGATTTTCCCTTTCTGGTAGAGAGCTATACGGAGAGCAGCAGACCTGAAGATGTCTGTGAAATACAGTGTCAAGCCATCCTAGAAGACACTGAAAATACTTCAGCCCAGGGGATATCTGTACCTGAAGTCCCTTCAGCCCTGGAACTCAGTGAAGAGGAGGCACCAGGAATATTGCTGGAACTACTAGAAACCTCCTCTGATCTGCAGATTATAGAAAAGGACTCTGGTACTGTTATTTTTCTTGATTGCTCTATTATATCGATAGAGAAAATAAGCATGTGATTCTACTAGATGTTACTTTTACTCTTTTAATTTTATTGTCAATGCACAAATAAAACATGACTGGAACTTTTAAGCGAATACGTTTTCTATTTATGAGCTTGAGCTTGCATGTGGTTTCAGGTTTTCCAGTAGAGGATGCGCTGGACAGTGAGCTAGCAGAACAGGACACAGGGATGTGCTCGTTCCCAGTGCCTCTGCAGGCTGAAGAGCCCTCCACCAGGACCTCTGCTCCTGAGGGATGGGTGGGAACAGGACTGGAGACATCGCAGGGCTCCACACACAAGCAGCGTGAAGAGCATAAACCTGGTAACGAAGCGGTTTTTAAATCCACTTCCACCTCCATTTCTTACAGACCTAGCATGGCCTCCTTCTAGTGAGCTTAAAACTTCTGCTGCGTGTATTGTAATGAAATTATATCTGTTTAGATTTTGACTTTAATTATAACTGAAGGAAAAAATTGAGTGCATTTAAGGTTCTCTGTACACTCCTTTGGGTGTTTTGGAAGTGTTGCTATTACATAAACACAGCCCGAGGTACTGTAGGTAGTGGCTGTTTTTGTTTTGATTGGTATATGTAATAGATCTGAAGTGCTTCTGTAGTTTCTAACAAAGAGTATTGATCCGATTTGATGCTTTTGATTTAAAATAAAAATCAGAAACACACTGATCATCAGTTGTTTTGTCTTTTTGATCTTTCAATGCTCTTTCGCTTGCTAGTAGAAAGCCCAGAGGACAGTCCCAGCCCTGAGGGGGTCTCCGAGCCGCTTCCCCCCACTAGCCCTGCCGACACAGTTCCTTTCCAGCCTGGAGGAGCCCCAGCCCACGACAGCTCTGCTGATGAAAAATTTCAAACCGTGGAAAAGAAACCTGGCAAGATAATGTTTCAGACTTTTAGATACTTGCATGTGAAGGGCTGCTTTCATTAGTAGCAAAATCTGTTAACATTATTGTGCACCTGTTGAAGAGGCCAGCACATGACGTCTTAGAAAAGACGTTTTTGCTTTTTTTGTGTTTGAAGTATAAAATAATTATATAATAGAAGTAAGGGAGGAACATTAGATCTTAACTTCACGCACTACCTCTTTCTTGCATATATACAGTAAGTCTGGCACCCAGGACTTCCTTTCACTACAGTAGCTCTCCCTCTCATCTTCCTCCCCATATACACCTAGCTCACTCCCTGCAAAAACGAGGGGGTGTGGTCAGCTCATCCTCACGACTGGGTACCATGTTCTAGGCTCCTGTAGGCAAGGCTCACCACATACAGTACTCTCTACACGTCACCCCGCTGCTGTATCTCATGGATTAGGATCCAGCACAACTACAGACTTATTGGATATGCAGTAACTGGATAATTCACTATTTGTGTCATTACCTACAGTATGGTCTTTTCTCTTTTATCTTTAACCTCTGATTAGAAATATGAATAAGAAACAGAAAATAACTTTGGCTGGCCTTCTCTTCCAGGTGTGCCGGTAGAAAGTGAGGAAGACTCTGTTGTTCCGCAGGACGAAGAGCCCTCCATCAGGACGTCTAGTCGGGAAGCCCGGGTGGGAACGGGACCAGAGACACACGAGCAGGGTGAAGAAAACAAAAATCTCGTGATTCCTCTTCTTTTAAAGAAAAACATACTAAATGTACTTTGTTTCGGCAGTATTTTAAAAAGTTTATGCCTTGTTAGCAGAGAGGCCGGTGGAAACAGCGTCTGACCACCCCGAAGTTACCTCAGCCCCGGAGGCTCCTGAAGAGGACAGAATAGGAACTGCCCCCGAAAAATCAGAAACCTCAGATGAGCCGCAGGCTGTGGAGAAGGAGCCTAGTGAGATGATATTTCTCATTTGCTTCAATGTTTGATGCTTTTCCTTTATAATGTAAATTATGGAATAAGCTGAGTCAATATGATCATGTTTGAAATATCAGCGAGTAGCCTGGATACAGTGCCGAACCGTTCCTCTCATTCACACCTCTGCTCTTCCTCTTTTAATAAAGCAAATGTGGATATGCTGGACAATCTGTTTTTGCCAGTGGCTCATTTGGACACGGAGCACGAAGATGTGGAAGCGATGCTACCCCGTAGCCCCAACATGACTGTCCTGGCTGTGCAGCCTGCCCACCCTCCTGTGGGACCCCCCGAACCCCAGCAGGTGTCCACACCAGTGGGCGAAACAGAGTGTGCAGGAAGTGGCCGAGTCACACCACCGGCGTCTCAAGAGCCGAGAACTCCGACACAGCCCGGTACGTTTAATGTTTTCGCCATTGGACGCTCCTGAGTAAGAACCGTAAAAGGAGTCTGAACAGTGAACAGTTATTTATTTTACACTGTGAGAATCTTTCAGTTAAGTACCAGAAATTATGCTGTATAATCACGAAATTCCCTTCCCAAAATAGTAAAACCTTTTAGTACTTATAGCTTGTTTTCAGTTGATTCTTAAAAAATTTCATGTGTGTATACAGAATGTACATAATGGAAAATGATGGATGTAACTGTTTAGAATGTTACTTGAAAACAGTATGAACCTCATTGGTTGTTTTACCTGCATAGATACAAGACAAGATAAGATTTATTGTCCCCTGAGGGAAACAGTGGCTCATATGCTCACTGTACATTACTGTGCTCTCGTTTCTGTAATTCTCCATCAGAGAAATGTTATGAACATAAATCAGACTGGGAGTGTTCCTAAAAACCACTGCCTTGAGCGGTTTTCTCTCCTTCATGTTGGTCTCCTGTTCCTTCTCTCCCTGAAGCCCATGACCGCCAGGCCCCAGCTGTCTCTGATGCTGAACATGTTGCTGGTTCACCAGACACCAGTGAAAAATCAGCTGAGATCAAGCGTGTGGATCGGGAGGCTGGTCAGGCTTCACTTCAGTGTTTTTAGTTATAGGCTGGTCTCATGTTGTACACAAATAGCCGTGCAATTAAGAGCTAATGTGTCAAGTGTCATATGCAAGATTGCGTTTTTTGGTTCCCTTTTTAATTTTAAAATGCTTATGTGGTCTTCTTGCCTTTCAACAAGAAAAAAGGCATTTGAAAATCTGCAGACAAGGTGTAACAAGGTTACCTGACTGCTACATAACATATTTCACAAGATTACTTTACAAAATCCTCTATTCACATTTCTACAAAATGCAGACTTATGGTAGTTTATTATTGTGTTGAAAAATCTCTTTGAATATCTTTAAAATTAACATAACCCTTTACAGTTTCACTACCTCTGTCCAATGCATCAGGCTAAAATCATCTCTGAAACTTGGCATCTTCTGTCTCCAAAGATGAAGAGCTTCTGCAGCCTGAAAGTGCATCTTCTCACATCCCTGCCAGGACAGAACCTGCTCCTTCAGTGTGTCCAGCAGAAACCCCAGAGGATTCACTAAGTGAACCTGGAAGACAAGCTGGAGAAATGGAAACAGGTGTGTTGTTTCATTTTCAATAATGATAAACCAGTATAAGCACTTAAAGTATTAGGAATCCAATCAACATGAAGAATGCAGTTCACGTCTGAGTTCATCAGATTAATAAATGACGTATGAAAATGTATAATAAAGGAAACTGAGCCTCCTTCTGTGTAGCTGCAAGGTCAAATATTGAAATGCAAACATTCGTTTACAGCTGGAATTACATCTCAGCTACTCCTTTTTAGACAACACGGATTTCTTCTATTTTTACAATCATTTCTGCAGTTTCCCTCACGGGATCAATAAAGTATCTGTCTGTTTAGTCCTCCAAAACTTCAATTAAGCTTAGAAGGGTGAGATTGTGTATTGAGAATTACTGTGAACGTTCTACTTCTACCAGGGCAGAGGTTCTCCGATATATTGAATTAAATACACTCGTTGAATAAACATTTCTCTTCAATGAAGAAAACCTTCCTCAATTTTTCTCATTCAGCTGGGTACGTGGCCGAAGAGGAACATCCAGCTGTTGTCGAACCTTCCCCGGACACAAAAATAGCCAAAATGCCCCCAGACAGCGTTGCTGCAGAAGATATTTCAAAACCGAAATTTCCTTTCTTCCTATCAGCAGTGGAGGGAGCAAAAGCCTTTGTGAAGTCAATTAAAATTCCTCTTGCGTCCCTTAATTTCACCACAGAGCCTAGTAAGCTACGCAGTTCTTCGTCGTGGAAACTGGTCACTGCATTTCAGAAATTAGTAGCAGATAAACCCTAAAACTTAAAGCAAGTAGAAAATCAGAAACTGTCGATCCCATTTTCAGGTGAGGGAGCTGCTGAAGAAAAAACTGAACAGATTTCCGAAACGGCATTGACAGCCATCCCAGAACAAAGTGCTCCTTCCCAGCCAGATGCTCCTTCAGCAGTCCCCTCTGCCCAGGAAGAGAAGGAACCTGGTAATGATTATTGCTCCTTTATTAAATACCTCTCTGGCATAATATGGAGAATTTTTGTTATAGTTTATACTGAGCATCAAAAAAAGTAGGACTCTTATTTATGCACTTACTGTATGTTATTAGGGAAATAAAGAGGGATACATTACCTCAAATGGACTGGTCAGTAGGAGAACCCAGTCCTCTTTAGCCAGTCTTGTGTGTAGAACAGTGGGCATCAGTGGGTGTGGAACAGACATGCAGAACAACATGTTTATTAATGTGCACAACATTAATGAGAAGGGCCGGTAGGAGGGTCCAGTTGCTGTGGTCTTTTACTTGTAGTGTTTGGTGGAAGCCTGACTGCACAGCACCGTCCAGTCCTGAGACATTGCCTGCTGTCCCTCCTGCTAGCTCACGTGCCAGTATCCCAGCAAGGCAGTGCCCATCCTGGGGCTACACTTAGAGCAACAGGTTTCTTGCAAGACTGTCATGTTGTGGATTTCCTACTCGGCACTTTTGAGCTCTATTCAGTATTTGTGGGATGAGCTGGATTAATTCGTGTCATCTGTGGTTCAGAGATCAGTGAACGGGCGCATGTATGTCCAGGTACTGGGAGAGGAATGTGGCAGAATGTCGCAAGACAGTTCCTGTGACCTGGTGCACAACAGGCAGCACAAATGTCTGGCTTTTTCTTCTTCTAACACAGGCCACACACAGCTAGCTTGTCACTGTTGATGAGAAATGTGTATTATGCGTGTTCAATAAAATCACTGAACCTTCAACAAAAAGCATTTCCTAATAACAACTACAGTATATGTTGTAAGTGATGAACGTCTTTGTATACTTGTCATTTGTAACACTTTTTAATTGATGCTGTAGACATAAGATTTTTAAATATGACCCCCACCCAGACATTATTAGAGTGTGGAAAGGTGTTTTTCTGCATTCCTAAACATTGTTCTCTACTTTTTAAAAATAAAAACAGCATCAGAGCAACAGCAGGAAGCTGAGGAAGGCCCGGCAGCAGCCGGTGGCGTTACTGCAGATGAGCACGTAGGTCCTGGTCTTGACAGTTCAGTGCATCAAGTCTGGACATTATATCACCTAGCACATCATGCTGAGGAAGGAACTCTCTCCACAACAGTGTTATCCCAGCCTCCTTTCAACGGGAGCGCCGCCATCAGGAGTTTTGGGGCTGGACACGTCCTACTGACACAGCAGCTTCTTCAGAGCACACGCGCAGAGCAGCCCGCGAGCGTGCAGCAATTGGAGCCACTCCGACCCACATCCCAGGGAAGCTACCTGAGCCACAGGAGTGGGAATCTCCACCCAGCACGCGCTCCTCTTTCTGGGCCACCCTGCCACACTCTTGGGCCAGATCACTTGATCATCCAGCCTGCTTCCTCCTCCAGTACACCTTCCCAGCAAATAACAGTCCCCAATTACTTTCTGGTAGTGTCCAACAATGGAGAAGACCAGAGAAAAAGAAAGATTACCTCATCAGCAAACATGGGCTCCAGGGATGTTAAAGCACACTTGCTTACGGACGGAGGGATCTCACCGTTACCTGTTGGCAGTGTGAGATCTCCAGCTGCGGTGAAGCGGGACTCTTCTAGGTACCTGTCCCTTTCAATTCCACTCGATGATCTTCATCTTCCAGGCAGCAGGAGGCAAAGTCAGCTCTTGAACGTCACTAGTGATGAGGGCAACCTGATTTATTCACCTGTGCACATCCATGTGGTGAACCTGGTGCAGCCCGTTGGCACAGAGGGAGCCTTCGGTGCACAAGCACAGAGGCGGCCGTGCAGTGCTCCAGTCAAGCTGAGTTTATCCAAGGCGCCCCCCTGCCAGCAAACGGATTCAGGTACAGTGGCAACACCTCGCTGCCTGAGTAAACTGAGCTTACAGTGGTATTTATGTAAGAACTTATAATATATTACACATATCATTTAAGTAGTTTCTACAATTACATGTTGAAGAGGCATGATTTTGTTGGTCCTGTTCACTATCTTCAATGTGTACAGGGTGACTTGCCTCAAGTCATTCAGGAACTCTCAGAAGAGGAGTATAAATGCATTTTTCAGCACAATTTCTGTCACTAATGGCTAAACTTGCCCCCGAGAGGAGGCTGTCTGTGTGGTTGCTAACTGATTTGAAGATCGCATCAAGCCAGGGTGTCGGCTTGAACAGAAGGCCTGGGGAGTTTAAACCGGACTCTCGCAACCTTTTGTGTAAACATGTGCCTCCCGGTCTCGGTTCTCTTTTTCCAGCAGCAGGAAATTCTATCTGTGCCCTCTGGCAGGCGTGGCTGGCAAGGGCGTGGTTAACTCTGAAGCAGTCTGCTGGCTTGACTTTATCAGTGACAGTGAGGATTCTGAATACTTGAACTGAGTCCCATTGTAGTCTTTGCTAGCCAAGATTTAGTTTTAACCTGTCAAAATGGAACATTTCTCAGAGTCTGGGAATGACTCTGCTTCCTCTTCTCTGCAAGTATTCCAGAGCTAGAACAGCACCTCTGTGGCTTGTTAAGAGAACACAGCTAGTCTCGTCTGAAGTAACCTGAGGTTTTGGCTGGTGTTTTATGGATGGGCACTAGATGAGCACTTACCATGCCATTTGTATTACACCTTGACTTCGAGTGACAAAAGCCCCCTGTTACATTACATTTTATGATTTATGGAATTCACACACATTTTGCTCTTTAGTGCTTAAAACGATTTTCTGAAAGTTTAGTTTCAAATTAGTCTCCAGCCAAATGTCACTAGTTAATTGATATTAACTATTATGCAAAGACAACTAATAATAATAATAATAATAATAATTGCTTACACTTATATAGCGCTTTTCTGGACACTCCACTCAAAGCGCTTTACAGGTAATGGGGACTCCCCTCCACCACCACCAATGTGCAGCATCCACCTGGATGATGCGACGGCAGCCATAGTGCGCCAGAACGCTCACCACACATCAGCTATCAGTGGGGAGGAGAGCAGAGTAATGTAGCCAATTCATAGAGGGGGATTATTAGGAGGCCATGATGGGGTAAAGGCCAGGGGGGAAATTTGGCCAGGACAACGGGGTTAAACCCCTACTCTTTTCGAGAAACGCCATGGGATTTTTAATGACCACAGAGAGTCAGGACATCGGTTTTACGTCTCATCCGAAGGACGGCGCCTATTTACAGTATAGTGTCCCCGTCACTATACTGGGGCATTAGGACCCACATGGACCACAGGGTGAGCGCCCCCTGCTGGCCCCACTAACACCTCTTCCAGCAGCAACCTTAGTTTTTCCCAGGAGGTGCAGTGCTACACAACTGCAGTGCTAGTCATGCTGTAAAACACTATTTAAATGACAGCACTGCATAATGTCAATTGCTGAAGGTGCACTGCAAATTATGACATGGTATAAAGGTCATTAATGAAAACTAATATGATTTGTCTTGTGAAATAGTGAATATCAGGAATGGTGATAAACAAGGAACAGCCAAGACTCAATGGGCCCACCAGCAAAGATAATGTAAGCTTTTTTACCTTAAGAAATTTAACACTATGTACACAGTACCATGAACCATGTCACCATAGCAAAATTAAATATTTTTTTGCTCAGTGTATGTTAAACCTCTAAACATTTATATGATATCTCTGTCCTGTTTGAATTGTTTTGTTTTTTTAAAATAATAAAGAAGTGTTATAAACACAGTAACATGCTCATCTCCTCATAATTGTTAGTAAATTTTGCTTTATAATATTATTTTGCTTGTCTCAAACAGGTCACAACATGCTGGACAACAGGAAGGATTTCTCAGCATTGGCAGGTTTTGGCCTTTACAGATAGAAGCCTTACTTTGAGTGACCTCTTTTCCTGCGTCTTAACTGTGTGTGCTTTCAATAAACTTCAACTGCAAAGTTATTGTTATTTTTTTCTTTAAGGATATCAGAAAAAATAATGCAACTGTATTAATCCTTAATAACAGTGCTGTAAATCAGATGACAATGACAAAGTTTGTCTTTAGAGTTACACAGTAGCCTTGTAGTCAATTATTAAGTTATTGGAAACTTACAGAAATAATACAAGTTCATACTGTGTTAATTCTGAATACCTAAATTCGGGGGGGGCGGTGGCTCTGTGGTTAAAGATCTGTGCCTGTGGCTGTAAGGTTCTCGGTATAAATCCAGAAGCTGGCAGAGAAATCCTACTCTGTTGGTCCCCTGAGCAAGGCCCTTCACCCCAACTGCTCCAGGGGCGCCGTATACATGGCTGACCCTGTGCTCTGAATGCAGAAGACAAGTTCAAAAAGACACATTCCTAATTTCTTTCCTGGTATGGTGCCAAGCTGAATATTTTGGTTTGTTGGATCTTTATGTTACATATAACAACTTTTGGCTTTTAAGTTTTACTATATGATTCCAAGTTAAAAGAGATTTGTGTTGTCCTAATTGACGCCTTATGTATGAATTTAAGAACTCATCATTTCCATTGCAGGACAACGCTCTCGTCTAAGCTATGCAAGCAAATGATAAAATCTTCAGCTTCACTGAAAGAAGAACTGGATACTATTAAAGAAACCTAACAGTTTGTTTTGCCCACTGTAACCAAGGTCAGCAAAACACATGGTTCTTGGAACTAAAGATCCTGACACATCTAAAATGTACATTGTACGTGGTGTCACCTCCAGGCTACAGTTGACCAGAAGGGTAATCTTGGCATAAATCAACGGCTCTTTTGACAGCTGTCGAAAAATGTTAGACACAAGGGCAGTAAATGTTCACCGCATCTAACGAACTGAAAGTTTTTTTAAAAAAATAAACAGCTTTCGACAATGTCATTGTGCAGATTAAATTCATGTTTGACCGGATTTCTGTCGAACCCCGACATTTTTAAAATAGCACTAACGTAAATATGTTTTAGCACTGATATTACGGTTTTCAAACCATTACAACCGTGCTACAGCAGTACTGTGTTCTGTCTCATGCAGGCGAGTGATTCGGGTGACACATCATGTATTACAATAGCAAATGGCAAGAGCTCATTGACTAGTTTACTGTGTATCACTGGGGGAAACCGAAATCATCCGAAATGCCCGGACCCCACGTTGGGTGACCATTCCGACTGCATTTTAAATGTTTTTGCTGAGTTAATAAGGGGCAATAAATACAGCTGTAACACACATATCACTAAAGGGCAAAGGGACAAGTCATCTAAGCTTCAAGAGCCTTCCAGTGAAGACACAGTAGTCTGCCTCTGTCTGCGTACAGTGCTGGCCGGACGGCGAGGACGCGCCCACCATTGTGAGCGCACAGTGAGCCGACCTGTCCCGGGACAGCCAGACCTGCCACCCTGTCGGCCTGTCCCAGGACAGGGGCAAGAACCGGGAGGCAGATCTGCATTACGGGCTAAGGCGCCAAGGTGGTTTCTAGGCTCAATGAAGCTTTATCCACAGAACGTGTCATCTCAGCCGCCGCAGTGTGATACAGTTAAACTTTGGGGTCGATAAATAAAAGCTGCATCCGAGGGTAAGAGGCAAAAGAACAGGTAGAGTTCTATAGTAGGTATCTACAGTGCCTTGCGAAAGTATTCGGCCCCCTTGAACTTTTCAACCTTTTGCCACATTTCAGGCTTCAAACATAAAGATATAAATTTTTTATTTTATGTGAAGAATCACCAACAAGTGGGACACAATTGTGAAGTGGAACGAAATCTATTGGATTTTTGAAACTTTTTTAACTAATAAAAAAATGAAAAGTGGGGCGTGCAAAATTATTCGGCCCCCTTGCGTTAATACTTTGTAGAGCCACCTTTTGCTGCGATTACAGCTGCAAGTCGCTTGGGGTATGTCTCTATCAGTTTTGCACATCGAGAGACTGAAATTCTTGCCCATTCTTCCTTGCAAAACAGCTCGAGCTCAGTGAGGTTGGATGGAGAGCGTTTGTGAACAGCAGTTTTCAGCTCTTTCCACAGATTCTCGATTGGATTCAGGTCTGGACTTTGACTTGGCCATTCAAACACCTGGATACGTTTATTTGTGAACCATTCCTTTGTAGATTTTGCTGTATGTTTGGGATCATTGTCTTGTTGGAAGATAAATCTCCGTCCCAGTTTCAGGTCTTTTGCAGACTCCAACAGGTTTTCATCCAGAATGGTCCTGTATTTGGCTGCATCCATCTTCCCCTCAATTTTAACCATCTTCCCTGTCCCTGCTGAAGAAAAGCAGGCCCAAACCATGATGCTGCCACCACCATGTTTGACAGTGGGGATGGTGTGTTGAGGGTGATGAGCTGTGTTGCTTTTACGCCAAACATATCGTTTTGCATTGTGGCCAAAAAGTTCGATTTTGGTTTCATCTGACCAGAGCACCTTCTTCCACATGTTTGGGGTGTCTCCCAGGTGGCTTGTGGCAAACTTTAGACGAGACTTTTTATGGATATCTTTGAGAAATGGCTTTCTTCTTGCCACTCTTCCATAAAGGCCAGATTTGTGCAGTGTAAGACTGATTGTTGTCCTATGGACAGACTCTCCCACCTCAGCTGTAGTTCTCTGCAGTTCATCCAGAGTGATCATGGGCCTCTTGGCTGCATCTCTGATCAGTCTTCTCCTTGTCTGAGCTGAAAGTTTAGAGGGACGGCCAGGTCTTGGTAGATTTGCAGTGGTCTGATACTCCTTCCATTTCAAGATGATCGCTTGCACAGTGCTCCTTGGGATGTTTGAAGCTTGGGAAATCTTTTTGTATCCAAATCCGGCTTTAAACTTCTCCACAACAGTATTACGGACCTGTCTGGTGTGTTCCTTGGTCTTCATGATGCTCTCTGCGCTTTCAACAGAACCTTGAGACTATCACAGAGCAGGTGCATTTATACAGAGACTTGATTACACACAGGTGGATTCTATTTATCACCATCAGTCATTTAGGACAACATTGGATCATTCAGAGATCCTCGCTGAACTTCTGGAGTGAGTTTGCTGCACTGAAAGTAAAGGGGCCGAATAATTTTGCACGCCCCACTTTTCATTTTGTTATTAGTTAAAAAAGTTTCAAAAATCCAATAGATTTCGTTCCACTTCACAATTGTGTCCCACTTGTTGGTGATTCTTCACATAAAATAAAAAATTTATATCTTTATGTTTGAAGCCTGAAATGTGGCAAAAGGTTGAAAAGTTCAAGGGGGCCGAATACTTTCGCAAGGCACTGTATATATGGGACTGGAATTTCAAGGCCATTGGAAATCTTCATTACATTAGTATGGCTTTTAGAGTATCTCTGTAAAGTATTAGGACATGGTAGGGAAACAAATCGAACCTGTACAAAATCCTCCTTCAAGGAAGTCCATGTAATTCAGAGCAAATTTTAATACAAATATAGTATAAAAATGGAAATAATAACTATTAAAACTTTTAACACTATTGAATATATTTTCTATGCTGTTTTGTTTCCAGAAAACCCCTCTTTTGATATAAAGAAGCTCATTAAAGAATTTCACAGAACCCAAGGCAAGTGACCACAATGACACTAAATACCCTCGTAGTCTCCTCTATTCAAGACTAAAAAGGTTCAGTTCTTTCAGCCTGTAGAATTCTCTTCTCTAGAGTAGCAATATTCTATGATGTGGTGACCAAAAATAAACACTATATTCTAAATGAAGCCATTCTTGTGCATTATACACTAACCTAATATATACTGTACACTATACTAATGTTATATACTTGATTTAAATTCCATGTTTTTAAATATAGATCTGAGCATATTATTTCACCATTTTAATTGCTTCCCTACATTATTTAGATGTAAATATAAGTAAATGTAAATGTAAGATGTAAATTTTATCCAAATATCTATTTTTAATTTGATTTACATTTTCTACAGTGTTCCTAATTAGGTACCTTCTGCAAATTTTATGTGCCTACTAATTATATTGTACTGTATCATTAATATAAACAAAGAAGAGCAGAGGTCATCCCTGTGGTGCTCCACTATTTACATCACTCCAATCTGAGTATTGCCCTCTTAGCTGTACCTTTCGTTTTCTGTTTAATAACCGAAAAAACAACAGCCTTACGCTCAGTGACAATCCCCCTCCGGGGCTATGGCTGTAAGGTCCTCCCCTTGCAGGGGTCTGCTCTCCCCTCCAGGAGGAGCTCCGTGTGTCTTAAAGGGCCCCACAGCTGCGTCTCGTCCTTAATCAGCTAGGACAGCTGGGGTTACTAAGGCAACTTGTCACCCTTAATCCAGGGCTCTGCCTCCTCACTGAACATGCCCACACCTAATGCCACACCGTCTATTTTCTAACAGCTTTACCCAACTCAGGGTCACTGGGGAGCTGGAGCCTATCCCTGCAAGCAATGGGCACAAGGCAGGATAAAGCCCTGGACAGGACACCAGTCCTGCTCAGGGCACACACAGACTCACCCGAACCAGGGCAAGTTTTCTCAGAAGCCAATCAACCCTCCAGCATGTACTTCCGGGAGGAATCCGGAGCACCTGGAAAACCACACAAACACACAGAAAACATACAAACTCCACATGGGACAAGCAGCCTGGTCCAGAATTAAAGCCAATAATGCTAAATGTTGCGCCACTCTGCACACCTGTTTAATAAACATGGTTTATTACATATAATAAACATTGGAACATCTTAGCTCCTACAGCATACTATTTTAGGTCCTGTTTTAGTACTATGCATTATCCCTAAACTATAAATCATGTTCTACAAATACACAAGTGCTGAATTGACTATACTGCATTTTAAAGTGTAAGATATGTGAAACTCCAAAATCCATAATATTGGACGACTTTATCTATTGCAGAAAATATCAATAATACTAGCATTTTGCTTTTCATTGTACTGAAAGTGTAGCTTTTACTAAAGAGATCAAAGCATAAATATGATGCAGATGGACCAATAGGTACTGTAATTAGTTTACAGGTATAAAAATAAAGTCTACATTATTTCATGTTTTTATTTTCATTAAAGTAGACGTTTGCCTAGTTACAAAGGTTTCAAAATAAGAAACCTGCTTTCAGCTGCCAGGTTGCGATCAGATGGCTTTGAAGCAGAGAGAAGAGCAGAGAGAGGAGCAATCCCAATACCAGCAGAGGCAGCTGGGGATGTTGCCGTTTTAGCTGCCGACAGGCAGAGCTCATCAGAGCTCCTCAGGCAGACTGTTGAGGCTGCTTCACAAGATCCCGGTGCAGGAAACACAGTGCCTGACACGCCTCCTCCAACAGCGACTCGTCAACAGGAATCCTTTTACCCAGACCCAGTGCTGGGATCTCAGGGGGTGCATGTTGTTAGTTGCAACTCCCCTTTTGTTCCAGGGAAATTGAAATTGCCTAACGCTCAGGCAAAAAACAACAAAGCTGCACAGATCCCTGCTTCGCGTGTCAATCCTGCTGGCAGTCTGTCAAGCAGGGCGGGAGATGTGGTCCCTCTAGGAAGGTTTTCTGAGACGGAGAGCACGAAAGAAGCAGCTTTCATTATCTCTTGCTCCGAGAATGTCCCTGTTGTCATTGCGCCAGGCACCAGGGGAAGAGGCATCTCTCCGCAGGGAATTCCCAAAGGATTTGCTTGTCCAGACGTTTCAGCAGCCAAAACAGAAGAAAGTATTGCAGCTGCAGTGGCGGTTGGTAGCCCTGGTGCTATTCTGACAGGCAGAGAAGGTGGTTTAGTTGTTGGAAAAAACCTTCGTAAGACAGCAGCAGTCCACACTGTGGCACAAGCTAAAGAAGATGGTAAAAAGAGCCCAGATTTAGAAAGATTCCCGGAAGAAATCAATCAAGCTCCTTCTCCTGAATACCCTGTTGCTAGAGCAGTCTTCAACAGCACATCATTTAGTCAGTGACCCTTTAGAAAAAGAGAGAGAATATTTACTAAGAACTGGTGAATATTGCACAACATACATGGCTGTTCTTCAGGAAACACTGTCCAACAAAACTCCAGTTTTTAACCACAATGCACAATCTGAATTACCCAGAGGACCAGAGCCAGCCAACTCTCTCCTTGAGAAGAACATGATTCCAGAGGAGTCTTTACCTAAAGCTGCCCCTGCGTCAGCCCTGAGAAAGGAAGCTGGTAAGAGTAACTATTAGGATAACGTTCTGTACTTGTTAATGCCGGTTTCCACAAAAAATAGTTATAACTTCCATCCATCCATTTTCTACTCTCTTTATTCTTAGCCGGAGCCTATCCCAGCAAGCAATGGGCGCAAGGCATTACAGGACACACACAGACTTGCACACACACTCACACCAGGGACAACTTTCCCAGATGCCAGTTAAGCTACAGTACCTGTATGCCTGTACAGTACACACAACCCAGGCCCCCAACACTAATCACTGCGCAACCATGCTGCCCAGTTATAACTACTGTATCGCAATATTTGTTTTCCACGT